AGCTTATTGGAAAATATCGACTACATTACAAAAGCGTTAAGCAAAAGAAATTTTGTCGATATTGCATTTTTGGACTTTGCAAAAGCGTTTGATAAAGTTTCTCATCGTAGACTAATACATAAATTGAAAGCATATGGGATCAATGGTAATGTTGGCAAATGGATTGAGTCATTTTTGACTAGCAGAAAACAACGAACAGTTTTAGGTAATCATTCTAGCGACTGGACCGATGTTTTAAGCGGAGTTCCACAAGGTTCTGTACTTGGTCCAACATTATTTATCATCTACATAAACGACTTAACGGATAATTTAAAATCAGTTCATAAAATTTATGCTGATGACACTAAACTGTTGCAAGAAATAAGACCTGAGTTTCACGATGCTGATTGTCTGATTCTTCAAAATGGTTTAAACATTATCTCAGAGTGGTCAAAAGAATGACTTATGGAATTAAATGTTGCAAAGTGTAAAGTTATGCACTTTGGTCATGGAAATATAAATCATGAATATGTAATGAATGATGGTAATACATCTCTTATTATAGCGGCAACGGATATTGAAAAAGACCTGGGTATTTTTTTATCTAACGATCTAAAATGGAATCAACACATACAGGTTGCGACACGTAGAGCAAATATGATACTTGGACTACTAAAAAAAACATTTAGATCAAGAGATATTAAGCTTTGGGGTAAACTATATACTACATATGTTAGGCCGCACCTGGAATTTGCTGTTCCGGTATGGTGTCCTTACTTAAAGAGCGACATCAAAGAAATTGAAAAAATTCAGCACAAAACAACAAAAATTCCTCATGATATAGCAAGTTTACCTTATGCTGAAAGGTGTCGGCGTCTCAATTTTACTTCTTTGGAAACTCGCAGGCGACGCGGCGACTTGATCCAACAGTTTAAACTTGAAAACGGTTTTGAAATTATTAATTGGCATAATCCACCTCTTCGCAGATCACCATCCAACGTACTAACGCGTGATTTCACTTACAATAATGCTCGACATAATTTCTTCACAAATTGTATTGAGAATGATTAGAATTATTTACCGTTGTCATGCAAAAAGGCTCCGTCAATTAACGCATTCAAAAGTAGAATTGATAAGTATTTTTTTCCTACAGCTGCAAATAGTGCATCTTTTACTGAAGATGAGCTGCACGTTTAATTTAATTAATTCGTGCTTTAGCAGCTACAAATATTGACTTTTTAGGTACATTTGTCATAAACGTAAACTGTAATTAAACGAAAGCAAAAAAAAAATAAAAAAAATAAAAAATAATAATAATAATAATAACAATAAATAAAAAAAAAAAAAAAAAAATCCTTTTGTTTTTTAATCTGTTTATTGGATTGTTTTTTTATTTATTTGTCATGTAATCTATAAAGACTTATTTAAATATATTACTATTACTATTACTATTAAATGAGTTTAGAAAAGAGAAAACTCAAAAATATATATGTTTTTCGAGTCGCTTAGATAAATAGGTCTATAGTTATTGCATGAAAGTTTAGTGTAATTTTTAAATATTGGAATAACAAAAGTTAGTTTCAAAATACCAGGAAATGTTTCATTTACGAATAAGGTAGTAAATAATTTAGATTTGGAGTCACTAGTTGGTTACTGAGATCACACTGCATCAGATGTTTAAGCAGAACAAAAACATTCATAAAATAACTTACGGGTAAGTGAACACCGCGCAAGAAACTCAGACAAACCACAGCATACATATACTAACTTATGAACTGTAACTTATGAAAATTACATAAAGTAACTTGATGAGTTTTCAAATATTCTTAATTTGAAAATTCATGGGGAAAATCTATAAGATTGTTTCTGGGAATACTGGTTGAACCTAATGATTTTCTTGGATTTAATTTTGATATAAAACTGACCGAATCGGGTCAGTTTTAAAAGTTTAATTTTCTTGTAAACACTTGGGAAAAAATTTTTAAAGTTTTTGACATTTATTAGAACATTAGTGCCTTTCCAAAGTTCGCGAAGAAGTTTTTACATTTACTGAGAAGAATTTTTTTAATTGATTTTTTTACTAATTAAAATTAATGTAGTTATCATATGTTTATATCTCTTAAAAATATATTCAAACTTGTTTATATTCATAAGATCATTTTTTGTTGAAAAAGATTGCCTACTTGAATAAATTTTACAGTTCCTTTTGTAATCCTCCTGACAGGCATTTTTTTTTAAAAGTTACGTTCTAAATGTATTTTAAATGTCTTTTAATCGTCTTCTAAACATGCTTACGCAAAAAACGTTTAAAAAACATTTAAAATACATTTAGAACGTAACTTTTAAAAATAAATGCCCGTCGGGCTCGGTTTAAATCAACGTTTAAAGCTCTTGGTTTTTGTTTTTTTTTAAGGGGAGCATTGCAATCTAAATTCAAATTTGTTTCAGTTATATTATATTTGGATTTAAAGTTTTCTTTTTGAGGTTTTTAAAATTCCTATCATATAAGTTGTGCCTGAGTGGTACAAGTAATTTATTGAAATTAAGACAAATACAAAATTGAGGTAAGTGACCAGAAAGTTTAATTAAAAAAATATTAGCAAAGTGATCAGTAATTCTAGTCGGCAAAGTGATAAAAGGAAAAATGTTATAAATAAAAATAAGTTCGAAAAATCATTATTTGATCGTATCAGACCAATATTATAATCACCAAGTAAGAAAACAGGTTTATTTTCAGCGGATATTTTTAGAAGTTGGACAGACATGATACTATTTAAAACATTGATATCCATGCAAGGGTGTCTATAAAACATTGATATCCATGCAAGGTTGTCTATAAAACATTGATATCCATGCAAAGGTGTCTATAAAACATTGATATCCATGCAAGTCTATAAATGCAACCAATTATAATATTAGACTTTTTTGAAGAAGTAGTTTTAACAAATGTGAATTCTGAACAGTTATAATCATCTCTTCGTTTTTATAATAGTTTTTTTTTTTTTTTTTTGGGACTTCTTGGTTCTTGCCAGAACTCTAACCACTGCACCACGGCTGCATATAATAATGTGCTACCACAAAGGGATTAGTTGGTGTACACTCAATGTTGTAATTATCAATGAGAATCTTATGAATTGAAGATGTTCCTTTTTTAATCTTGGTTTAGTTATACAATTGAAAAATCAAAATTAATTAATGGTAGTATTATGTTAAAAACTTCAAAGTGTAAACTCCAAAAAGGCCACACTACACATACACCTCGGTTCAAATAATTAGAGACTACGTGCTAGCTGTTTTATAAAACGAATAATTCTACTCCACTTCAGATACATTTCATAATAAAACAGTCACGTGACAGGTGCACAGTTAATCCTGTCATCTGTATAAATTACAAATCTATTTAATATGCCAGTTTATTTAGTTGTAATAGTATTTTTAAATACATGTTATATGACTACCAGTAATGACGTCTAGCTTACGTCATACCAGTTTAAATGTCTTATAACCAATTTTGTACTAACAACTCATACTAATAAGACATGCTGCTAAAGTATGCACACACACGTACACTACATTGACTATTTACATTACATTCACAGCTATAAGAACTTAAAACAGTTCACAACTCTCAATGACCCTCGTTATACTGCGACAAACCACTGCACTTACTGACACTCATGTTAGAAAATTAACTATAAATATATGCATATTATACTGAACTCCACTTTGTATCGTCTGGTCTCATTGTCGATGCAGAAGTTGGTGGCAATTGTCCTGATGGGATACTATGAGAATAGTCTTTTTGGGATAACACAAAGGGATACTTTAACAAAAATATACGTAGTGTACACCCAAAGTTGAACTTTATATGGCATACCAGTCTCAGATAGAAGCTGGAGGTCTTCTTGTGTTCATACTGTACCATAAGGCGCAAATCCATACCAAACTCGACACGTCCAAATATATTTCATGGACGTATACATGTATGTATACATATATCTTTAATACATGGATATGTATACATACATCTTTAATGTACGTTTATCACCCTAACAATACATACCACATGGTAACTACTTATAAAACGAATAATTTTGCTTCATCACTGATACTGTCTATGCATTACATTTATGCTCGACACAAGTAACATTTTAGTAGCATAACAATTGATGACTCTAACTTTCCTCGACTAATGTTTATTGTTCTTGTTTAAATTTACTACATTTTACTTAGATCAATTTTTTAGTATTTTTCTACTTTGAGGCTTTTTGTTTTCCACTGGACATCTGCGCTTTTGTACTTTTATCATGCTACACTCTTTAATAATTTATTATGCATCTCTAATGCGTTCACTGCTCACTGAATTTATCTCTAAGGCGTTCACTGCTCGGTGCAGCTTTAGTAAAATGCGTTGCATTTAGTAAAGCTGCACCGAGAAAAAAAAAATTGCATCGGTACCTATGCAATTTTTGTCGCGATTTAAAAATGTAGAAAAATCGTCTGAGCGGATAATAATTTTGGAGTTATAAAAAGACTTATTTTGATTCTTTTAATTTGCTTTTCTCTGACAAAGTAAAGATAAGAGACATTGGTGTTTTTTATGACGTGGAGGCAATTTAACTTAAGACGCTCTTGTATTAACTTCCTTGCCTTTAATTTTTCTTGTTCTAATTATCTTTTAAAAAAATTAATTATGGATAAAATCACATTAACATTGAAATAATGATTTAATTGAACTAAAACAAAATCAGTTATTTTTCTTTATTACTTTTGAAAATTATCAGAAAACTATTTTGGCTATTATTTAAAAACTTTGAGACAAACGACCTATCTAGTTCAATTAACTATTTTTTAAAAACCATGTTTTAAAATAACAAGTACTATTAAGTACTTTTCAATTAACTTTAATTATTATAAATATTGGGGTCATCAGTTTACAGTTTTATATTTTAGTTGAAAAATTTGAGAAAAATTTTATTGTAAACTGAAGTTAAACTTATTTTTACATTATTGCTATTAAATATTTTGACATTTCTTAAACTGTTAACATAATAAAAAATAATTTCATGGAAATGAATTTTGACTACGTAACAATTACTCTTCATGCAGTTGTTATGATTAGTCATATTTTGGCGTCTTGTGGTAATTTTGGATCAATCTTTGGATGCTCATGGTGGACCTATAACGATCCCAGTTACATTTATGAATTCGGTATTCTTCAAGAGTGTGTTACAAGCTCAAAGAACTTTACAAGAAAATGCACATTTAGGAAAACTCTTTTTATGTTCAACGTTTTATTGGAAGATGAAGGTAATAATGTAACAACTTTAATTTTTATATCCAAAACATTTTAACCAACTGTTTTTATACCTTGATTAATAAAAATGTTATTTAGTTACTTAAAATTGCAATGTATCTAAAATTGTTAAATGAACTTTTAGATTTGATACCGGATATTATACTAGTATTATTTTTCGCTGCTATTGCTTTTAACATTGTGGCACTTTTCAGTAGCATATTTTTATGTTTCCAATGGAAAAATAAAGAAACATGGCGAATACTTTGCGTGATAATTTCAACTTTTGGAATGTTAGGAGGTAATACGTTTTAAAGATACTCGTGATAGCCCAGCGGCTGAAATTTGACCGTAATTATAAAAAAATAATACATTATTAGCTATAACTGGTCATTATGTGTTTGATATAAGTATTAGAAAAAAAGTGAATGTTTTATGTGATTTATTTAAAAATATATATTTTAACATACTTAAACTTTCCGAAACTTTTCTCCATTAAAAGTAAAACAATGGTCTCACACATTTCAATCAAATATAAAAAGTCGTACAAAGTTTTCTCGTCGCATATTAAAACATAGATAAATAAATGAACTTTTACGTTTAGTTTTGAAAGAGAAAAGTATTTTTTTTTTTTTTTTAAATAGATTTCCTCGTTTTATTGTTTTCTTCTCGCCTCGTTTTAACGTTTGCTTCTCGCCTTGTTTTGTTGTTTGCTTCTCGCCCCTTTTTTATTTTGCTTCTCGTCTTTCATAATCACTACTTTAATGAAAATTCTCTCATTCTTTTATATATATTTCATTTCAATAGTGATTATACCTTTTTTATAGGTCAAAGTAATGCTACTGGGATGGTGTATGCTCAAATTTTGACTAATAAAATGTCTGCAATACATGGCGGTTGGACTCTTATTCTATCTTGGGTTACCACTGTTATTCATCTAGTGGCAGCAATTCTGAGTTACTGTATACTTCGCTTTCCACCGATTGGTCATCGTGAAGGAAGAGTAATTTTAAGAATCAATGATATGTCTCTAAGTGATAAAAATTCCGATAAAAGTATGGAAAATAAAAATAACATTGAAACTGAGAACAATGATGATAAAAAATTCTTTGATGATAGAGGATTTGTTATGTACTAAGCTATTTCAATAAAATTCAATCGGGATATAAAAATTTATAAACAGGAAGATTATTTGTTGACATATATTTTATGTTTATATATTTCATGCTTTAAATTATTTTATATTTTTTTATTTATCATTACGGAAAACATCGTGGACTATCACTTTTTTTATATTACCGTTTTTGATTGTTTTATTTTTAAAGTTTACAACTAAATGAATTACTTTATTTAAACAAACTTTTTATTTAAAAAATACTTTTGAATATATATGCAATGCAATTAAAGAAGACGTTCTAGTAGTCAAAAAATCCACTACTAAAATGCAATCTTGATGAAAGTAAAAACCATGTCACTAAAGCCTATAAACGTAAAAAATCAAATTATTTTCACTTTTAAATGTATGAGAAACGAAAATTCAATAACAAAAAGTTTCCTTTTTCAGATAATGCCGCCCGGTGGCAAAGTCCGATCAATTTTTAGCGGCAAAATGTTCTTTCTTCCGCCTTCAGTGGCTTCCGCTTTTCTATTGGCGGCCGCAGCCGGAGTTCTTTTTTGGAGGCAAAATGTTTTGGAGGCCGACGCCAATAGAGTGGCGGAAGCCAATGGTGGCTGCCTCCAGAAGAAATTTTGGAGGCAAAGCCATTTGGAGGCCGCCTCCAATGGCTTCTGCCTCCTAACTGGCTGCGGCCGTCAAACTGGAGGCGAAAATATTTGCCTCTCGGCGGCGGATGTAATGAAAAATAATTGCTCGTTTGCTTTAAAGCACTTAAATATTAACTAGAAACAAATGTTAAATACTTGACATCAAAGTTATCAACATAAAAACTCTTTATATTAAATTCGCTGTAAAAGCGATTTAATATAAACAGTACCTTTAACCACATGAATATGATCTGACAAATTTCATAATTTTTTTATGCAACAAAAAACTATTATTAAACAATGATTTGATTCATAACTGTTTAACAATAGTTCTATTCAGACTCAGTAGTTCTCTCATTACGCCGCCATGATTGTATAAAGAAATTCTGCTTTAATTTGTTTCGTTTTTACCAATTTTATAAAGTAAAATAAAGATTTAAATAATATAAAAACTTATACCATCTATATTTCCAAAGAAATATAGATTAGAAATATTTACTAATAACATTAACAAGAACATACCATACAGTGTATCATATCTTGCACATAACAAGCAACCAAAAACACAAGTTAAAAACATAATCTGACTTAATACAGTATAAAAGTTGCATACGTATAAGATAACCGTAGCCGGATAAACCAGAGGTCCAGAGAAGGAAAACAAATCATTTCTAATGTTTGTTGTTACACATAAATCACTAATACTATAAATCACTTAACCTCTCGTTTATGAAGCGAGTGTTTTACCACTACACCACTATCGCATAAAATTTAATATATATATATATATATATATATATATATATATATATATATACCCATATATATATCAGGTATATATATACCCATATATATATATATCAGGTATATATATACCCATATATATATATCAGGTATATATATACCCATATATATATATCAGGTATATATATACCCATATATATATGGGTATATATATACCTGATATATATATGGGTATATATATACCTGATATATATATATATATATATATATATATATATATATATATATATATATATATATATATATATATATATATATATATCCTGACCAACGTTTGCAGTTTCACTACACTACTGCACGTTTGGAACTAAGCATGTGACACTTCTTAGTAGGCAAAAATCCTTTTTCTATTATGCCGTTTTGACCATGTTTGGAATAACCCTGCATTCGCCATTACTCTACTCTCCCCTAATATAGATAAAAGTTTAAAAATTTTTATTGAGAGAAGCTTTAAATATTTTATGACAATAATTGTAATGTTTTTTTATGATAATTGTGATTTTAATTTTAATTGTTTTAAGACTTTTTTTTAAAGTTTTTCTTAACATTTTCTTAAAAATTTTAAAAATTAAATATTCTTTAATGTGTTTTCGCTTAGCACCTCTTACTATACCAACTTTATCTTTGTACTTTATTGTTTTTCTTCTTCTCAACACCTCACTCTTTTAGATGTCTTTATTATTATTACAAAAAACACTGTACAACAATTTTTAACTTTTTGAAAAAAACAAGAACCAAATTAGGTTATCTTTATTAATTCAGACGTGCTGATTCCAAATATGTAATCAGTTATGCTGTAGCACGTCACAATTTTTTGAAATAACGATTTAAAGATGTAACGTAAGATGCATTTTTCTATACATATGAATAAGTGTATGAACATGTTTATTATCACTTGTAACACAAATTGTTTACTTGTATTTAATTGTATTTAGCCTGGCGTTTGAATGCTGCATCGGGTTCATCGCGGTGCAAATTCCAGCAGTAATCTGCAAGCATGGCGGGGCTCCACTTTCCATTGTATCTGCTTTCCATTGTGGCACTACTCTGATGAAAGCGCTCGCCATTTTCATCATATACACCTCCATTGACAGAGAAGAAGGAAAGATGGGAATGAAGAAAGTGGAGTTTCAGCGACATGTTACAACCCAGTTGTTGATAGGATGCAATTAATCTGTCTACCAAATCAGCGTAATTTGGTGCAATATGTTTTCCAAGAAATCCCTGGCACACCCGTTTGAATGCATCCCGTGCTGCAAGTTCATATTGATCCATCGTTACCGAAAACGTTTCATCCAGCATCAGTTCTCGTATTTGGGGCCCCACCAAAATGGCCTCTTTAATTTTGGCGTCACTGATTTTAGGAAATTTGGTCTGCAAATACTGAAATGCTGGTTTGTCGTGATCTAACGCCTTTACAAACTGTTTGAAGATTCCAAGCTTGATGTAAAGATTGGGCATTACGATCTTCTCTTTATCCACAAGAGGTTCATGAATGACGTTATGGGAACCAACCTCAAATGTTTCTCGTTGTAGCCAACATTTCCTCATATAATGTTCTGATCTTATCCTGCTATCCCATTTGCAGAGGAAACACATGTACTTAGTAGAACCAGCCTACAACCCATTTAGTATAGCAACAACTTTCAAATCTGCACATATGGACCATCTGTGATCTCTGTATTTAATTCTGTCTAGAATAAGTGATATATTCACATAGCTTTCCTTCAGGGTTACCGAATGTGCTATGGGAATGGAAGGCAGCACATTTCCAGTATGCAGTAATACTGCCTTAATACTATAACGTGATGCGTCAATAAACAAATTCCACATAGATGAATCGTATTGTATTCCTAGATCATCAAACAATCCACTGATGTCATTACAGAAGCAAAGTTCTTTATCCATAGAGAAGTATTGCTGCAGTTCCCGTGATCGCTTTCTAAATGACGACACTCTTGCATCACCAGCCAACAGATGCCACTCCTGGAGACGTGAAGCCAGCAATTCACTCTGTTGCTTTGTTAAATACAAATCTCGAACGAGATCTTTCAGGTCAGATCCTGTTATGAAGTGGGGTTTACGCTCTGTATCTTCTGGCAACTATCATCGTCATCAGTATCCTCGTCTGAATTAGAACTTTCCGTGTTTGGGATTTCAGATGGAGGTTCAGGAACAGTGAGTTCAGCCGAATGAGGAACAGGACGAATAGCTGAAGGTAGATTTGGGTACACTATAGCTTTCTTACCCTTAGAATTGCGACCTGATATGTTAACAGAACAGAAATAGCAATCTGAACAATGATTTTGGGGTTCACGCCATACCATTGGCACCCCAAATGTTGGTCCTCCACCAGTCCTGTTCGCCCACGACGATAGTGAACTAGCGCACCTCACACAGCATGCATGAGGCGCCCAGTTCTTATCCTGGTCGCCGACTTTGCAACCAAAGTATAGTTCATACAGTTTTTTCACATGTGGTGTCAATCTTCGTCTGCATCTCTTTAAAGTCATTTCGCCACAAATGTAGCAAAAGTTGTCGGCTTGATTTTTACAAGTTCTGGGCATTTCTTGTTTCAATGTATTATATCTATATATTACTTGGCTAACTGTAGTTTATCTAAAATAAAACAGACTTACATTTAGTCTAAACAAGGTTAAACAAATGCAACTGTATTATATCATACACTGTATTATATCTATATATAACTTGGCTAACTGTAGTTTATCTAAAATAAAACAGACTTACATTTAGTCTAATACAAGGTTAAACAAATGCAAATAGGTATATGATAAAAAAATGCTAAGAAACAAATCATAAACAACTGCTATTAAATATAATAAAAATTACATTGACAACTTTCATAGTGAAAATCGAAAATTTGAAAATGTGAATTTCCGTCAAAATTGGTGGGTCACACAACAAAACGGACATTATTTTCGTAATCTCCAAATCAAAATACATAAGGTAGTGTCAATGGCATTTCCGTTTTTTTTTCGTTGTTGTACAGTGAAATTAATATAAAAAGGTGCTGTCTGATGTTAAAGCTCCATAATTCTCAGTTTACTAAATCTCGTATCTTATCTCACTAATCTCGTATCTCAGAAGTGAGACTTTTGGAAAATTTTTAACAAAACCAATAACTAAGGTACTGTAAGTTGAAAATTCCATTCATGGGTCTGACCTTATTACCTCTTTTAAAATAAAGCATAACTACTCTCAAAGAAATCTATAATTTGACTTTTGACCATCCACTTCCTGCTATTCGAGTTAAACAGGTTAACCCATCGTTAGACATACAAATCTTTTTGGCTTCCGTTGCTAAACTTGTTTTTTTATTAAACTTTTCTACGACTTGTGGTCCAAATAACATTCCATGTCACAGTTTGACAAAAGATGTCAAAAAGAAAGTCCAAAACTCTCCTTATTATTCTTAACTATTTACAAAGTGCTGAACTGAATCTTGCATTTCTGCCAGTCGGAAAATGACATCTGTAGTTCCAATTTTTAAAAACTCTGGAGAACGCTCGGACCCCTCCAACTATTGTCTGATCAGTTTTCTATCTGTTATTAGCAAGGTCATTGAGTCTTGAGATCAACAAATTTCTAAGATCCCATCTTAAATCTAATAACTTGGCAATCAGTATGGTTTTTGAACTTTATTTTTTTAGATTATTAAATCATTTCTTTTTAATCGCAGTATAAAAGATATCCTCGAAGACCAACACTCTTCTTCATTTCCAGTATTTTCTTGGGTATCTCAACGTTCTACCCTGGAGCCTGTTTTGTTTTTTATCTATATTAATGATTCAAAATGGCTCTATATTACTGACGACTCAACTTTCTATTTATATCTTGACAAAAAGTCCTTTTTGATTGCTTAGAACAGACAACCGACCGTTAATGTGATCTCTCTTCTGTAACAGCATGGGGTTTGCAGTGGGTTGAGCAAAACTCAGTTATTTACTGAAAACAACTAACGAAAAATTGTCGACATTGTTTAATGAATGACACTATATAAATGAACGGCAACCATCTCACTGAACCCTTTTTCTTTACGCCTTCTCGGATTATCATTCACTACTGACCTTTCATGGTAACCATATATACAATTCATAGCAAAGCAACAACTGCTAAAGTTGTTTCTCTTTATCGTGCTTGCCATTAACTTTCTCCAGATTCCATTTTTCACCTCCACAAATCTCTTATTCGCCCCTGTATAGAATACTGTTGTCATATTTCAGGTTGGCCACTCAAATTTGAAAATGAAATTCTATGACTTTTATGATACATTACTAGAGTAAAATATTCAGTACTTGCCATGCACTAAGCATTTGCAACTTGGTCATTATAAAATCAAAAACTAATAGAAAGTACTTAATGTCTTAAAACTCTTTTTCTTTTCCTTTTTTGATAACTTACACTGCAAAGATATGTTTTTCAAAAAGGACTTACTAGAGATACTAGTACTTTTCTTTGCATCCTAATAACATCACAAGTTGAAAAAAATAAAGATAATTTTAAAAAGCAACCTTCAATGAAAATTTAGAAATTCCATGACTTTTTTTATGACATTTCCATAATCGGTGGCCACCCTGTATTTGGGCTAGTTCTTCTAATACTTTTTTCTCTAATAGACAAGGTCAAAAATTTAACTCCAGCTAGTTATGCTTCTTCAGTTACCTTCTAATAAGTGGTGTAAAAGATGTACAAGCAGGGGTCGTTTTAATTTTTTACCTATTTTAACAGGTTAATATATAAATACATACACATATATCAAGTTTTACCACCCCGCCCTCCTCTTCAATCCAAAAAGTAACATTAAAGATTGTTGGACTTTCAAGCATAAGCACTTCTCCCAAGGTTAAAAGTAACCAACTTAATAGTTGTAACCTTGCTGGAAGTGAGTTATTATAAATTTTTTTTGAAAGATTTACGGTTGAGTTTTAGAGGGGTTTAAACAAAAAACAAATCAAAAATAATTAGCGCTTCTTCGGACTCGGTGAGTCCAGTTTAGATATACTTAGAGATAAAGTTAATTTTTAATTAAAAAGTTAACTATTAGTTAAAGTTTAGATATATTTAAATTCAGTATTAATTCAACTAAACTGTTTAATAATTCTAATGTCTGTATTTTTTGTTTAACGAAATATTATTAACGTCATAATATAAAAACCTAAAACAATGAAAAAAAAATTTTTTTTAAAGAATTGCAATCGTAGTAATCAAAAAAGAAAACGAAAAACTAAAAAATAACAAAAAAACAGATTTTTACGTTATGTCGCTAAACAATACAAAAATACATATCGGAATTAAACAGACACCTCTAAACAAAATTATTAGCATTTATTTTAAAGAATGTTTTATACTTGTCTTGAAGTGGGCGTTAAATAAATTTAGCTCCACCCATATACTTTTTTAGATAATTACATGTTTATTAAATTGTTTTACATCAAGAGTGTCGCTTTTACAAAACTGACGTCTTTGTGCGGCTTGTTCGCCACTGAAGTCTAAAACTTTTAAGCTATAGTCTTTCAAGATTTTTTATTTCGTCTAAAAGTCTTTTGCATTCTTGTTTGAAGTTAACAGGCGCTGCAGACATAGCAGAACATTTAAGTTTTCTTTCATCCTATCATTAGAACAGACGTAATATAGACTCAATTTACACTAAACTACCTCATTATTTACTAGCAAGTGCGTAAAATACCTGATAAGTCTCCATCTTTGCACGAACTTTAAACACAAAAGGTTTGAAACATGCTTCACTAAAAATCATATCAAATTGAGACACGTCCTAAAATAAAATTACAAGTTAAATATTATATTAAATGTGAACTAAGAAAAGCGCTTATACAAACAATTATGTAGACATTTGCATTTAAATAGTTAGACACGTCATGAATAAAGGAAGTTGACTGATACAGCACGCTAACTTTATTGTGTTATTATTAACTTATTACAAGAATTCATTAAACTAAAGCTATTAAAAATTTCAAGAATTAAGTTCAGCAATCAAATTTCTTTAACATTGAAATGCCATTTAGGGCATTTTTAAAATTTTTATGTCGAAAAAGCTCGTGTACCTTGGGCTAGATTTTTTCAATTGACGAATTCAAGACCCTAGACTTGTCTGAAAAGTGCCGAAACTGATATAATCACATCTCTATTAGGATACATCAATTTTGTAATCAGAAGTTTAGTAATATAAAGATTTCTTTATTTATTGAAAAAAAGTGTTTGGTTGAAGCTTTTTTATTTCAAAGAAGTTTAGATAAAGCTAAAATGATTTCAAAGTATTGATAAATACAATTAAAATTCTTTGTAACGCCATCTTTAACATTTACCTTTTGTATAAAATTTAAGCCACATTTACGCAAGATAAATTTTTACAGGAAAAGATCAAAAAGTAAAGATTATCTAACAAGCGTAAAACACATAACACAACGTAAAAAAAGCTTGGTGAAAGTCCTAACCCTATTTTAAATACTGAACCACTCACAGACAGATTGTTGAAGATCTTTAAAAACAATTCTAAAAAACTGGGAAGACCTTTTGACATCAGTTTTTGCTGATCATTAGATATAATAAAAGAAAATTTTTTTTTGAATAAATATTATTAGTATGATAAAGTACCTTACAATCAATTTCATTATTTATTTTTATTATTTATTCAAGTTATAGTTCCAGCATTGCTGTAAAACTTAGCATTGCTGTAAAGCAAAAAAAAAAAAAAAAAAAAATGATAATATGGAAAAAAGTTAATCTTTGGTTATCTTTAATGTTCACTTATTGCATAGAAAATCAAAGTACTTCTTATATTATCCAGATTAATAAACTAAAGTAAATGTAAAGTAGTAACAGAAACGAACAATTCTAAAAAACTGGGAAGACCTTTTGACATCAGTTTTTGCTGATCATTAGATAAAATAAAAGAAAATTTTTTTTTGAATAAATATTATTAGTATGATAAAATACCTTACAATCAATTTCATTATTTATTATTTAATATTTCATTATTTAATATTTCCTGTTGTAAAATATTAATTAAATTGATATTTTTGATTAATGATTCTCTAAATACTATTGTATTACTATTGTATTACTGCAAATACTAGTTTTATACTAGTAGTATTAAGTACATTACTATGAATTTTATATAAAGTTGCTCGATATTATCATTTAATATTTAAATTCCTGCAGAAGACAGGTTATATTTAAAAAACGGAGTAAGATTAAAAAAATAATTTCAACTTGGTTTATTTGATCATGGGTGGTCTAGAAACATATCTTTTATATTTTAAACAATCACTGCAACAAGAAACTAGTTACAAATTTCCAAAAATGGCATTATTAGAGTCTGGTTTAGAAACTATTAACTCTAGCTCTAGTGTGGTAACTTACAAGAGCTTCTAAATAAAAAGTAGAAGCTCGAGTTTCTGCTTTGATGGAATTTAAGTCAATTAGTTGAATTTTGTGATTTTTTTAATTTCAAATTCATTTCTTGAACAAAAAAATAAAAAAATAAAGTGGGGTGGACTTATATCCAATGTGGAATATCATCTTGTATACGGTAAAAATAGATCATAAGTATGAATTAGTCATTTTTCAAAAACTAATTCAATCATTTGTTATATTTTTAGAGATTCTGTGGGTTTATAAAAAAAAAAAGGTAAAATAAACCTGAAGGAATATATATATATATATATATATATATATATATATATATATATATATATATATATATATATATATATATATATATATATATGTTTTATTAAAGATTTATATATAAACTCAAAAATTTACAGAAATTTATAGTTTCTGTGTTTTATTATTTGTTCTTTTATTTTGCATGACTTCTATTTTATATATATATATATATATATATATATATATATATATATATATATATATATATATATATATATATATATATATATATATATATATATATATATATATAATATATATATTTTGCAGTTCTTTAGAGGATACTAAACAGATTTACTGAATAGCTTACTTTGACCACAAAAATAATGTAAAAATAAAAGAAAGCCTTTAAGTTGTGTTACTGCTGCTTCTTCAGTTGCCCTGTATTAAGTGGTGTAAAAGTTGTACAAGTAGGAGTCATTTTGATTTTTATCTACCATAATATGTAAATATATAAGTACATACACATATATAAAACTCTAGTATCCCACCCTCCTCTACAATCCAATAAGTAACATATAAGAAAATAACTATGCTTTATCAATATAAGAAAAATAACTATGCTTTTTATTTTATTATTATTTATATTAATATATATCATGAATTTATTTATCGAGCTATTACTACATGATAAAAATGATTTAAATGTAAAAACAAAAGTAAAAACCTTGTTTTTATTTTTCAAATTAGCAAAATTATAGGAAAAAAAAAAGAGTTAATAGAAGATGATGATGAGAGAGAGAGAGAAGACAAATGAACCATTTTTTATAAGAAAATATATAAACATCCATACTTCTGTGATAATTATTAGTTGTAAACAAGTTAAGCTTGATTAGGGTTAATATTCACCAGTCACTGCAAGCTTCAAGCTGTGACAGAAGAAAGACCAGATTCAAGTTTGGTTGTCTGTTCTAAGCATTTAGAATGTGATGACTGTTTTGTCAAGACTGGAATACATAGTTGTTTTATTAGCAAATTACGCCAATTTATAGTTTTTTTTGAATAATCTTGAAGAATCTATAATATGAATAAAATTATCAAAAATATATTTGCTATAGATAAGGAGCAACACAGGTCAAAACCTTGTGGTACCCTAGAAGTTACTGAAAATTTTAATGCAAGGATTAAATCATTTAACAACCAATTCAACAGTTAACAGATCAGCTGAAGAACAAGGTGATTGAAAACCACATTGTTATAGTTTGTTAGATTCAAAATAAGACAGAAGTTTGTCAAACAATAATTCAAAGACAAATAAAATATTAATATATAAATATATAAAATATAAATATATAATAAAAAATATCAATAAAAGGAATATTAGGATTGGACAATAGTTGGTAGTACCTCAATAGTTTTGAAAAATTGGAACCACAATGAACCAAATGCCTTATCATTTTTTTTGACTAGAAACCAACAAGAAATAAAAGCATGTTTCAAATAAAAGCATGTTTCATTTCATGTCTGACTGAATACAAAATATTATATAGAAAGTGCTATTATCAACAGAGAGACAAAAGATACCAGCGCAAGAGCTGTCACAAAGAAAATCACACGAACAACTTGATCTAATTATATCTTATATATTAAAAAAATTTAATAAGTCATTGTTTATAAAAAAACACAAATTATTCTCTTTTAAAATATCTATCAAATTATCTCTTTTCAAATCTCTATCAAATCTTTTCTTCTTCAATCTCTTTTTAAATTTTTATCAAATCTTTTCTTCTTTAATCTCTTTTCAAATCTCTATCAAACTATCTCTTTTCAAATCTCTATCAAAAATTATTTTGGTGAAATACTAGGTAATTCAATATTTTGATTACTATATTCAGTAACTCTGGGCATAATTTGGGATTTTTATAAAAAAGAAATGTAACACAATACATATTTAGTCGTAAATTATAATAATCTTTTTTGATAAAAAATGTTCTTTAATGAACCAAATTTTTTTTAACTAGATTCAATCAAACAATTATTAAAAAAATGCAACAGTAAAATACAAATAGAAAATAAGTTTGACCATAGATAAAAAGTTTTTACCGAATCTTTTAAATGACCAATTTGCTCAGCAGAAACACCTAAAATTGCCTCCGCACTCTCTTGAAAAGCTGTAATCCATTGATTACCTGAGAAATCAGCAATATTTGCCTATAAAATAATTTTCAAAATAATATAAAAATAGACTCTTTTATATGTATCTATCATCTTTATGTCTCACTTATCTAAAAAATAATAAAAATTATAAAGATTTATAAAAAATGGTCAAAATTAAATTTGAAAAAAAATTGTAAGTACAGTACATCCAAATAGTTCAGAATATATATATATATATATATATATATATATATATATATATATATATATATATATATATATATATATATATATATATATATAAAATAGTTCAGAATATATAAAAATAATAATTCAGAATATATATAAAAAAATATTTCAGAAAATATACATTAAAAAAATAGTCCAGAATAAATACAAAAGTTAGAAAATTCTCAACAAAAAAAAATTTGTTGCCAAGAATTTTGTATAAATTGTTTTTAAATTGGAAACTGTATATAAAATATAACTAAAAATATATAAAAAGCATTTTTGTATAAGATTAAATATTATATTAAAAATTTAAAATAATATATAAAAATATTTTTTGTTAAATTAAAAAAAAAGAAATTTATAAGAAATAATGCTTATAAAATGAAAATGTGTGGTTTACTAATCTGGGGTAAAAAAAAAAAAATTTCACATGTTTTCATGCATTTCGCTTTTTTTTTAATTTTTTGCATCACTTTTAAGTTTTTGCTTATTTTAACAACATTGAATAAATTTGTTGAACTCTAAAGATTAAGTTTTGTTGAAGTTTTTTTCAGCAATTTAGTTTAAATTATCTAACAGTTATAACAACTTTAAATATTCTCTATCTTTGGGCACTTCAATTGCATTTTCTTCTGCTACATGCAATAAAGTTTTTTTTTTAAATTAACATGTGTTTCGCTTTTTTAAAAAGAATAATAATTTTAGAATTAAATGTCACCTGAATGAAAAACTGAATGTTTGATGAAATTAATTATATTGTTATGTTGATAATGTCACTAGAGATAATCTTAGCATAACCTTTAATTTATTTTGATTTTGTTTTTATTTTGTGAAAAAATGCTCGCATGTTAAAATCCAGCTAGTGGGTGCCACAAATTCTGTATGATAAATCCAGCTATTGTGTGCCATAAAAAACAAAGGTGTTGCATGTCCCATTGAGAGCTTTTTAAACATGACAGTTTTGTTTATAACTAATACAAATACTTCAAGTACATGTTTTATCTTCAATTAAATAAATGTATTATTTTTCAAAGTAGATGTTTACTTATTAAGGTGAGTTTCCACTCATCCGTTTTTTCACGGGAACGGGAAAGGGAAGGGAAAAAAAATCACGTGGGCATGCGCATTATAAGTTTTAATTTGTCTGAAGTAAAACTACGCATACTCACGTGATTATTTTTCCCATTCCTATCCCGTTGCCGTAGAAAGACGGATGAGTGGAAACTCACCTTTACCAGTAAACAGTTTTGATCATCATCATCAAAAACTCCAAAAATGTTGCGTCAACTCCATTGACACAACATTTCTTTACATTATTGACACAACCACATTTTTCTTTGATGCTATCAGTGAGTTTTAATGTACACCTAGAACTTTATCTACAATTTTTTTTACAATTCACTTCCCCAAGGCCAAAAAGGCCACTACAGATGAGGAGGCTACTTGTGGTTATAACCCTCTCCAAACTCTATAACTCCGAAACACAAACCTTGACAAACAAGGCGCAGAGGAACAAGTTGATAGAAACAAATGATAGAAACTTGATCACCATTAAAACATGTTCCATATGAGTGATGTTTGAGTTGTGCCAGACACTTGGTTTTGTTTAGTAACAATGTCAAAGAAAGTATTAATTATTTAGTTAATTATTTAAAGAATTAATTTTTTATTAAATGATTGTTTTATCTACTCAAACAGTAAAAAATTCATTATCAAAAATTAATTAATTTTTTTATTTTTATTTAAACTGTTACTTCTGTAAAAAAAAATTATATTGCTAAACTTTATTCTAAAAAAATAATAGTTTTATTACAAAATCTACTTCAAGATGTCTAAAATGAAAACAAAAATACTTTTTAACTATTTTCAAGAGAGTATTCAATGATAAAAAAAATAATATAACTTCTAAATTTTAATTTTTTTTTTCAAACTAAAATTTTTAGTTTGATTTGTTAGTTAGCTTTTTTGAAGTGAAAATTTTTGGTTTGATTTGTTACAAACAAATTTACTTTACATACTGTAATTATATCAAATATATTTGAAAAAAATAAATAACAGGAAAAAAATAATTTTATTTAACTTACTGACAATACCATTCGATATTTAAAATCTGGGTATGTCCGATCACATTTCTCACATCTGAACTGACCATTATCTTCAATGACTTTCTTATTACAATCAGCACCAGGACAGGCCTTTAATTAAATCACATAGGATACATACAAAATATCTGACAAAAAACTAAAATAAGCCAAAAACAGATAAAGCTTACTTGATACATGCAATTTTCTTTACGATAAAATACAATGAATGCACGCACATTGAAATAATCAGGCTATTAATTAAAAAAATCATATAATAAATGAGCAATGATAAATCAAGTATATCAAGAATAATAGAAAATTCTTCAGCTAAAGAATAGTAACTTGTTAACTTCTTGTCAAAAGAAAATATTTAAAATAGTTTTGTTATTAAGATAGTAAAATTTAAAAATACTGTTTATTAAAAACGAAATTAATTTAATCCAAATGCAATACTAAATTATTTGGATTGCCGAAACAACAAATAAATAAAAAAAAAAACTTTACACCTAATAAACAAACTTTTTGCAGACATATAATAGCTAAACTAGGGTGTTTCATTTCCGACAGTTTTTCAAAAATGATTATTACTTATTTTAGACTAAAAATCTGTTGTTGCAAAATCAACAAAATAAAGTTGTTGCATTGTATGTTAACCACATTTTTAAGCATAACCAAAAACTATTATGTTAATAAATTGTTTGCATTACAAAATAAAAATCCGTAATTCCACAAGTTATAAAAAAAAGGTTATAAAAGATATTACATCAATGAGCATAGGTAAAACGTACAAAAATAACTTTAAAATTACGCTCTAAAAATTAATTTTTGTATTTTTTTTTTAAATCAGTAAATTTTTTGCTTTATTATAAAAATGAACCTCCCAAAAAATAACCAAGTAACGCTAATTGGCTAGGCTAAACCCGATAATCGTGCTTCAATTGCCTACAAAAAAAACAACAATTGGCAAAGGCAAAAACAACACATCTGAAAGAGATATTAAACTTGTTCTTAGTGAGCTGAAGGAAGACTAGAAAAAACTGGAGGACTAATTCAAACAGATAATTTCTGCTTTTTATTACTTGCAAAAATATTGGAAAAAAGTGCACAATAAAGAAAATAGAAAATATGCTTAAATTTCTATGCAGAGTACAAACCAAACTTCTGCTGTCTTAGCAAACAAGGTATTTGATCGATGATTATATTAATAATCTTTTCCGGTTTGTATTTTTCAATAAATCATGTTATTTCAACTTCTTTTATAAATTATGTTATTTCATGTTTCTTTAAGTTATAAAAGGTGAAATAATCATAGACACAGAATGTTAAAAGATGATGATGCGAATAAACATATCAGACTTGCTGCTACTAAATCCTTATTCAACATCCATGCTGATTAAGGATTTGATGGACTTTGACAAATGAAAAGTTGACAAATGAAATCAATTTTAATAACACTCTGGAGTTTTGTATCCATTTTTAAATAAAAGTATATGAACATGTACAATTTCAGTAGATCAATAAAAATCATGAAAAAGAAACATTTAAAACATGCAATAATTATTTTCTGTGCACTTAAAAAGAACTTTTCAAGAAAGTTAAAAAAAAAAAAAAAATAGAATAGTTGAAAATATTTAAGGGCAAGTTTTCAATATTTGATAGATATTAAAAGACTTTTAGGAAAGACTTTTTAAGGGCTTTTATGGCGTGTAAGGTGTGGCAATCTTGTATAATAAGTTGATTACAGAAATATAAATTCCTAAAATTTAAAAAAATATGATTTAAGTTAGCCAATGATCAAATTTAATAAATTCTATTTACAATTTTTTTTTTTTTTTTTATTATGATTTAGTGTAAATAAAGTTTTAAATAACTCACTTTTTCTCCCATACCAAGCCCTTCATCTTTAATTTGACCAAGGGTTTTATACTTTCCACCACCTGCCCCTATGATTGAAAAAAAAATTTGAAAGTTAAATTATCAAAACGCTAAATAAGTATATAATATAAACATATAGACATATTATGGTGTCCCAAAAAATAAAAAATTTTGAAAATGTCTATACAGACAACATAAATGTGTTCTATATATTTATAAATATTAAAAACCTATATATTAATTAAAAATAAAAATAAGTATATAAATTTATAAAATTCTATATACTAAAATATATTAAAAAAGCCTACATAATATATATATATATATAAATATATATATATATATATATATACATATATACATATATATATATATATATATATATATATATATATATATATATATATATATATATATATATATATATATATATATATATATATATATATATCAGTAGCATAGCAAAGGGACGGAAGCAGCAGTAGGGCCTAAAATTATTATGGGCCCGAGCTAAAATTTTGAATTTTTTTTTTTTAATATGCATATATATAAACATAAAATAAAAAAATGTGCATAAATATATCAAATAAATATATATGTACATATCTTAACCATATAATAATAGCAATTTTTGCTACTATTACATAGCTAAGAACTACTAACTGTAACTGGTAAGTGTGATATTGTAAGGTTTTAAAGCAAAGTACAATAGTGAAGCTATTGTATTAAATCTATAACTCACTTTTAAAAAAAGGTTGGTAAGACAGATGTCCGGGTGACAGTGTAGCTATCTTCATTACTGATGTATTTATTTCTCATAAAGTTAATTAGTTCTATAAAACTTTTCTCAAACAAGTTTTGGTATTTGCAAAAATTAACAATAAACACAAACTTATCTAGATTATACATTGACTAAATGATGCTAATTTAATATGTTGGACTTGTTATTTAGCTGTGCAGTAATTTTATTTTGAAATTTTTTTTCCTAATGCTATATTAGGTAATAATACTAAGAGCCGCTATTGTATCACTTGAGGAATTTTTTCATAAAAACTGTTTCCCGAAAGTGAATTTCAGTTGTTTAGTTACAGCAAAGGTGATTATGATTCAATTTCAAACTTTATTGCGCCTTTTACCGGTATCCACAATAACATATTATGGTATATTGCTCATTAAAAATATAATAGCAGCAACTATGCATATTCGACATAACCCATTTGTCAAATTTTTTTTAGGAAAAGAGGAGAGAGAAAAAAAAGAGGGAGAGAGCAGAAAAGTAGTTTAGGGGCCCGGATAAAAATTTTGCAGGGAGGCCTATTTTTTGTCACTAAGCTAATGATATATATATATATATATATATATATATATATATATATATATATATATATATATATATATATATATATATATATATATATATATATATACATACATATATATATATATATATATATATATATATATATATATATATATATATATATATATATATACATACATATAGAATATATATATATATATATATATATATATATATATATATATATATATATATATATATATATATATATTCTCTTTTTTATTGTTCTTACAATAAATAAGAACCTTTTCCTTTTTTTTTTTTTTGAATAAAATGGTGACCAATTTAATTAGAAAAATATATAAATCCACTCAAATTCTTGTAAAATAATTTTAAAAATAACTCTTTAATAAACTTTTTTTTTATAATATATATTCATGTAAACAAATTTTTTCTTAATTTAAAAACTTTCATGAAAATAATGTTTTTCATCAAAAATAAATTAATTTTTTTGAATGTTGACCTAAATTTAACAAATTTACTCTCTATAAATAAAAAATGATGACAAAGAATATTTATATAAAACACTTTTCCTTTATATTTATTACTTCAAATGTTTTAATTCAAAAGTATTATTGTATTATTGTCTAAATTTTTTTTAAACCCCTACATTTAAAATAGCAAACACATTTAGCTCTATTTTCTTAAGCTTATTTTGATTTTTTTTTTAAACTTTTATTATTTCCTTGGCTCTATTTTAATACAAAACATTATTTTCAGTTTTTACTTTTTAACAAAGAAAATCTTAAATCCAGGTACATAACTTTATGTAAATAATTAGAAAACAAAAATTGTGATTTAGAAAAAGAAACTTATAAACAGGGCTCTGTTCTAGAGAGCCTTGATACTAGATCCAGATCTTTCAGATTTTCTGTTCTAGGCCTTGATCCAGATCTTCTGATTGATCTGATTAATTGTCTTTTTTTTTTGAACTAAGGAAAAGTCTGAAAAAAATGTACACACTAGCATTAAAAACTAATGTATTTTAAGTAAAACCCAAATATTGAATGACAGTGTACCCTCCATTCTTTGTCCAGATATTGAAGTTGTTTGCTCATTAATTCCTCCATTATCAAACCTAAAAAAAAAACAAAAAAAAAAAACTGTCATCTTCTTTATCCTAATAGTAAAAGTGTCAACAATATTTAGAAAACCAAAGTTTTTTTTCAGCAGAGGTCTTTGCAAAATAGTTCTATAATAAAACAGTTTGCAGAAAAGTTGCATTTTTTAATGATGTAATATATCAATATTTATCATTTAAACCATCTTGAGAACATCATTTAAATAGTGATACATATCCCTTAAACCATCTTGAGAACATGAAATATGTAAAACATGTGCATAAAATCTCTTTTGAAAAATTAATAAGATTCATAAACTTTATCAATTCTTAACTTACTAAAAAAACTTTCTATTTTACAAACTGTTGCAAAAGTACAAACTTGCTATTTATTTTTATAATTTAAAAAATATTTATATTTTTAAAATATCAGGAGCTTATTTTTATTTTACCAACAAAAAATATACTAAAAACCCTACAATTTTTTTATGAATTACAACTTACAGCAATATTATTTACAACTTTTTTTTGTATGATGATTGAAAATCATCATACTTTGAAAACTTTTCGAAAATTTAGATCTTATATTAAAAGCAATGTGCATAACCAGTAGTATTGTGCATACTCAGTACCCCTTACACTAATGTGTAACAAATTATCTTACAACGCTAGTACCCTGTCTTTACATAGGCACACAGCAAATGAGAATCCAATTCTCAAATAAGGCAGTGTTGGTGATTTTTAGATGTTTGAGTTTTGACACTTACACATATTTTGCAAACTCCAAACTTTTGTATGTTCATACTAATGTCAAATGAGAATGTTTTGCAAAAAGTTGTGGTGATTGGAGCTTGGGGACAAAAAAAACGAGCAACAAGTGCAATAAGTTGACAAAATAACTTCTTTAGTATTTTTATCTAAGTTTATATTCATCAACGAATTTCAAATTTCATGCAATAACCTCTTAGTTTTTAGTTTTTATGACCCTACAAAATTTACAGCCCCCTCAAATTGGGGGGTTTAAACTTTATATGGTCATAATTTTCGAAAAATAAGAAATTATTGGATGAAATTTGTTGATGAATATAAACTTAGATAAATATACTAAAAAAAATATTTTATCAACTTGTTGCTCCCACGTTAAGGGCTGGGTGGGCCCAAAAATTGGGTTTTTTTTGTCCCCAAGTTCAAATCACCACAACTTTTTGCAAAACATTCTCATTTGACATAAGTATGAACATAAAAAAGTTTGGATTTTACACAATACCTGTAAGTGTCAAAACTCAAACATCTAAAAGTCCAGTGTACACCACTGTAAGGATATAAGTTAAATACATCAAACTACAGACTTGTAACACCTTATATTACATAGATGAGTAATTGATTTAATGAAAATCCCGGAAATTTTTTTAAATGAAAATCCCGGAAAATTATTTATTAAAAATTGATCTAATAACTGAAAACAAAAACTTTCGTAAACTTTTAAAATGGAATTTAGATTATTTAACTTTTTACAAAAAGGATTTTCTAATATTCGAAAAAGTTAATTTAATAAATTAAAAAGTAAAAAAAAAAAGAAAAGAAATTGTTACGAAAATTTTAACTATAAAAATTATATTTGTTTAAATGCAAAAGATAAAAAAATAAAAACATATTTGTTTAATGTAAAAATTTATAACTTTTTTAAAACAAATTAATGAAAAAAAACTTCCAGAAATTTCTGGAAACATACAGGAGTTTTAAGTGGATTTCCCGAATTCCCGGAAAAAACTCATCTATGATGTTAAAATTGGACGCATTTGAAATAAAAGAAAAATTTCTAAACTGAATTGACCCATTTTTGAATAATTGAATACGAAGAGTTGTTCAAAACAAAGCTGTGTCTACATAGTGAAACATAGGTTGAGTTCAACAGGGCTCTATTCCAGGTGGAGTTCAACAGGGATCCATTCCAGGTGGAGTTCAACAGGGATCCTTTCCAGGGGCCATTCTTTTTTTGTAGAAAAAATCAAAAACACTGTAAAAATATATTCAGGTGATACAAAAAACCTATCAGTGGTAAATTCAATTGAAGGCACCAAATTAATTCAAAGAGTATAAAAAAAGTGGTCAGAAAAATGGTTAATCAAACTGAACAAAAGTAAATGTATGGTTACGCAATTCTATTTCAGTGAATACTTCACTGAAATAGAAGAAACACATAGCAACATGTTCATCAAATGCAAAAATGGGATTAACAAAAAACATTTTTGTCTATTTAGATAAGTATCTAGTCAAGCAATTATACTTAACTTTCAACACAAAAAGTACAACACAATACAACAGGGATGGTAAAGAACTTAAAAAGTCTGCAGCAGCAAGACGATTTACAGATACTTGATTTGACAACATTGTTAGCAAGAATGCAAAGAGTGTAAACAGGTTTAAGAACAAATAAGACAAACACTAAGCACCAAAAAAAAAAAAAAAATTTAGAACTAATATTTAAATTTTTATTTTTTTCTTTAGTAAATTATTGTATATAATAAAAAGCTGTTAAAGTGAGTAACTTAAAGTGAGTAACTTATATAACTTATTCAACTTATGAGCTGTTAGGCTACAATTAAAACTACTACTGTTGCTGAATGCAATTGTTACTTTTATTCACTTGAAAACTTGTAACTTTTCTTTTATTAACAAAGGAAGAAGAAAAAATTTATCAAGAAATATCTTTAAAAAAAATAAAACTAACCATCCTCTCAACTCATAAGCTTCAGGTATATCAGGATTAATGTGAAAAATACTTGAATTTAAGATTGACAGTGACCGACCTCCAAAATCAGATACTTTAGCACCTTTGATTGCAACAACTGGATTCTTATCTGTGTACTCCTCAAACTTTTCAGCCTACAGTCAAAATAATATAAAAATACAACTGAAATAAACAGAGAATATATCAATAAAATATTTGTAGTATTTCCATTACCTCGCTACCCCATATTGTAGCTTGTACGGCTGAGCCTGATTGATCTACAATTGTTATATCTCGCTTCCAAACCTATGATTTTTTTTTTTATATATATTATTTAAATCCAAATTTTATTTTAAAAAAAATTTTAATTAATTTAAAAAACCTCTAATAAAAAATCTAGCAAGAACTACCTTAAAGAGTGTATGTATATATATATATATATATATATATATATATATATATATATATATATATATATATATATATATATATATATATATATATATATATATTATATCATATAAACAATACATATAAATGTATACATATACACTTATAGTATACATATACATACAGTATATATAAATACATACTTATAGTATATACATATATATAAATACATATATATGTAAATCACTAACTTGCTTATTAGTTGCTTTAGATGTTATTTGTTGCATTTCAGAAGAACTTTTCACTATTCCAACAATATCTAATTGACAAATAAATAAAAAATGCATTTAGTTTTTGACTTGAATCTAGAGTAAGACTAGAGTTACAGAATAAAAGTAATAATATATAAAACTATATAACTATATTCAAAAATTTCAAAAAAACTATAAATCAGCTGTTAAACTGAAAATTTCAATTAAAACTGTTACTATAAGAAAATAAAATTTAATTTCAATAACATGTTACTTTATTTAAAAAAAATTTAAACATTGCAGTTACTTGATACAATATTTTGAAGAACATATAAAATGTAAGTTTTAGATATGTGATAAACTTTTTTAATATTATTATCATAATCATTAATAATCATTACATATACAGAAAATATATTAATAAATAAAGTTCTTGAGTGATTTGTAATTCTTGCAAGTTTGATATAAAAATAAGAAAAAAACAAGAAATTATTTTAAAAGCAATGCTTTTAAAATATTGCGAAATTACTTAATTATAATCTTGTTATATCTATTATCTTTTATAAAAAAATATATTTATAGCAAATGTCCTCTTTACTTTTCAAAAAATAACAAAAAAAAATTCTTTTTATGAGGTTAAAAATAAACTTTCGAAAAATAACCAATTTATAAAGAATTATTTTACATATCTCGAGGTTAGAATTATTTTGTTCTCCACATTTTTTTGTTTCGAGATAAAACGATTTAAAAAATAAAAACTTTAGGAGACGGCATATAAAAAGATTTTTATTACTTATGTTTTCTCCGAAACTTTTTTAATTTTAACTTAGGTTTTAATATAGTAGAAAAACATTATTTTGAGGTACATTACACAATTAATAACTCATTTTTTTCAAAAAGTGGAGATAGAACAAAATAATTCTAACCTCGCGATATATTAGAATTTTATGAAAATTATCAATTAAGTTTTATTCTTTTCAACAAAAAATAATTCAAAAAATAGAGTTAGATAATACTTCCCAAAAATCTGAGCTGTTTGGAGGGGTGTAATTAACCTTAATGAATTTGATGTTGTGAATATTTTATTATTTAAACTCAGTCTTTAATGACACAAAGCTTAATCTGACCAAAACAAATAAAGAATACTATGAGCTTAATATAATAACAGTAAACATTTATATAGATATTCTTTAATATAATAGTGACATTTGTAATAAATGTTTTTATGTATCAGCCACAAGTTTGCCATAACACATACTTTTTGGCAAATCTATTAAAGCATTTATACTTAAATTTGTTTGATGACAATCCTCCCATACTTGCACAATAAAATTGCAAGGGTGATAATCCCTTTAAATCTTTCATTTTTGTTTCATCAACCATTAAAATGGATCCATCAGCTCAAAAGCACAACCACGTCACATTCAAACTTTCAAAGACATGTTTTAGCTTTTTTTTTATCTCAAACATCGTTCCCATTTAGTATTGCTCAAATTTTGTATGAGCGTAAACCAAGTTCTCTGTTAACATTATACATCAAAAAATTAGAAAATTTTTTGGTTAGGTCAAACTAAGAAACCTGGATTGTGCTTGAGGGAAATGATCACTAGACTGACTGCAATTTTATTAGTAAAACCTCTAAAAATATTATATTAATATATTAATGTATATATTAATGTTTCTATATATTATTAAATTAAACCATTATGTAAATTATGTAAAAAAATTATATATAATATATTATTTTAAATGAAATTATTATTTCAAATAAAACTTCTGATAAAAAACTCATTTCAGATACAAAACTTAGAGCAAAATACTAACCAATTAAAGCATCTTTGTTCACATCTTCAATAGACTTAATTTGTTTGAAATTAAACTGCAATGTTGGTAAATCACACAAATCATTGCACTATAATATATAAAAATAATTATTAAAAACAGGAGCAAAATCATTGTTGAATAATTTTAGTGTAAAATTAAAAAAAATAAAACATACAAGCTCAACTAAAGAGTCATTATTTAATGTCATCTCATAATCATTCTTTAAAGAACTGTATTGTTTATTAGCTGTCTTCAACGATCCTTTTGTGATATAGTAGACCTATGCATAATTGTAAACAAGAAAACTAGAAATAAAAGTGATATAAGGTAAAGTAAAAACTTTAAATTGAACTAACCTTTCCAATTTCCAGTAAATCATAATATTTATCTACAACTTCATTGAAAGCAGTTGCACGTATTTCCCCCTAAAACATTTCTAAAACTATATATTAATTGAATGTATTGTTCCTTGAAACAACTCTACAACCCTTCACTTTGCTTTAAGTATGTTTTTTAGTAAAAGACTAACCGATTCATCAACAAGGTCTATACTGAAAAGTTTTCCATCTCCTCTGGAATTACTCCATGTACGAATAGATGATTTGTTTGTTATACGTGCACGAATTGTCCACCTTGAAGCAATTGATATAATACTTATATATGAAGATTTGTTATCTATTTATTACTTATTAAGTAGATTACAATGCTTTTTTAAAACTGACTAAAAATATTTCTAACTAAAAATATTTTCTCATTGAAATAAATTAGCTTGGGTTTTTAAAGTGTTGTTATAGGTAACAAGATTTTTTATAGGTAACAAGAACAAAAAAATTAATTATATTACTATCTCTTGTTTTCAATGCTACTTGAAATAAAAAAAGTATTTAAAAATGTAATTTTTAATAAAAACTTAAAAATAATTAAATAAAATATTTAAACAAATTTATCATGATAATGCATATATCATCAAAAATTTAATTAAAAAAAATTTCTTCAAATAAAACTACCTGTTTTGATATGGTGTTAATGATGAGATTGGGAACACTGATTTTGAATTTGAGTCAACAACACTTCTATTTTCAAAAACAAAAATAAAAAAAATAAAAGGTACTTATATGTTGCTTTATTATTGAATTATACAGAACAGTAATAAAAAAATTTAGTAACAAGCCATACTGTTAAATGCAGATTAAATTTAACTTAATTGTATAAAAAGTGCATAATTTTTTGACATTACACCTGATGAACTCAATTGTGATTGATAAAACAATTGTCATTTGTCAATATTTTGATATAAAAATAAAAATAATATTTTTGATAATAAAATATATAGATATTTTTGATCTAAAAAGATAAGATATTTTTCTTAAAATCATTACTATATTAGTGCTACTCAAACCATGAAGATATATTTTTTAAATTAGCAACATATTTTACTTTATTAACACAAGTTATATAGTTTATATACTCAATTTATTGATATATAGAAATATATTGGGTATTGATATAAAATTCTTTCAAAAAACATAATCAAAATACATAAAATTATTTTATCTTAACTTATAAATAAAAAATTTAAAATACAGGGATAAAGATATGCAGGATTTATAATGGCCATAGTAAAATAAGGATAAAAACTTATAGATTTATATGGTGCTCTTGGTTGAGTAAAAGCTAGAGATGGTGTCTTGATAAAAACATTCATCTTGGGATAAAAATATTTATCTACTATCTTGTAGAAGGCCTCTAGGCAAAAGCTTAGGTAGAGATAAACAGATTTTATTTGTCGACTAGCTTCGCACCACTTTTTCATCTATAAACTAACTAGGTTAAAATACATCGCTTCCAGTTTAGGATATTGAATGCTGGATCTTCTTGGCTCAATGCATGGGTTTTGCTTGTGTCTCTGTTTTTATGACTAAGAAACTCATTCTATCAACTCCTAATAAAGATAGAGCTCTAAAACTCAGTTTTATGGTTCTTAGGCTGGCAGGTAGTCAGGTTTCCTAAACTCTGTGGTAGCACTCAGAGAGTGTGATTCCATCAACAGCTGTAAAATATCAGTTCCAAGTACTTTTCTTCTGTTGAGTCTTATCTCTTTCAAAGTTCACAGAATCTGCTTGCTTCTGTGTGGGACTAAATTGAGTTCAGCTGTCTCATCTTGTGATCTTTGATGGCTATCTTCTTTTAATTTGTTAAGACTCTAATAGTCACAAGCTTGGTCTTGGTATTTACATTCATAAAAACTCACCTATTTGATGGGAAACTAGGTTTGAATCCACAGACTATTCTTTTAAGTGTTTATGTTTAGCACCATTTCACTCTATCACCTTTCTCTTTGTTCTGTAACGCTCATCTTTATCTCACTTTTCGATGTTGTTTCTGATCATATTGACCAAACCATTTCCTATTATCCTTCACCCAATATCAATATTGCTGATTACTTAAATGCTCATCACACTGAATGGCTTGGTTCTAGTGTCAGTGACTCTGCAGATGATAAGGCCCACAACTTTCACCTTTCTCAATCTCTGACTAGTTTCACCAGGCACTTCTGATCACGTTTTGGTCTCTCAAAAACTATTATTTCATTCTTTATCATCAGAATTCCCCTATCATATCTCTTACAACTACCTGAAAGCTGACTGTGACTCTTTCTGTGATTTTCTTTGTGATGGCTCTTGGGTAGAAATCTTTTGCCTTCCTGCTAAAAATTTTGCTTCTTATTAAACTTCTAAATTAACTGACTTGTCCATGGTTATCTTCTTATTGCGCTGCTACAATTTCCAAATGTAACCAGTACTTCCATATCTATCGCCAAAACAATTCTCCAGAAAACAGATGTCTATTTACTATTGCTAGAAACCTTTGTAAAAAGGTTTTGTTTAATGCCAAAGCATTTTCTCAGGTCACAAATTTTCATATTTTATATCAAAAATTAGGCTCCAGACTTCTGGAGAATCTTCAACATAACAAGGGTATATCTGTCATAACAAGGGTAAATCTGTCATACCTCCTCTCTTGCATGGCTCATATTTTGTCTCACCAATCAGTTTGAGTAGTTTGCTAAGAACTTTTAACTAATGTCATCTCTTGATTCAACTAATCACATCCTACCTGATATTGCCGACAAACAGGTTGATCAATTGCTTGACATTTGTATCACTCCAGCTTCTGTATCTAAAGTTATTTTTTGCTTAGATTTTTTTACAGCTTATGGTCCGGATAACATACCTGCTATTATTTCCAAAATTAACTTTATTTGGATTTTGTGTAGTTTAACTACTTTTTTTGATTAATTTTTTATGCTGGTTTCAAACTACTTCAATTTTTTCCATTATAAATATTTAATCTTCTACTTCAATTTCAATAAAAGTGATTATTTTGACAAAACAATCAATTGTTAAATTAAATGAAATCAATTATATTACCAAAGTAGAATCCATGGTAAATTTTTTTCTTTTTATTTTATCAATAAAATACGTAATCATTATGTATAGTTATAAATACAACAAAAATTAAGCAAAAACAACATAAAATTAATCAATATATAAACAATTTGTAACAGTTACTAGTGAAAATGCGAAATAATTTCATAACAGCTGTAGTGCAGTGATTAGAGTTCTTTCTTTTTATTGTATTTTTATTAACAATTATGATTTTAAATAAAGCGGAACTTGGCTACAATGATCTACTGTATTACTAAAATAAACATCTCATTCATCAATTGTTTTTGACATTCAACAGATTTTTCTCTTTTTCAATATATTTATTGACATCTTATTTGAAAGTAAATGAGCTGCCTAGCAATTTTAAACAAGCTAAGATATAATTTCTCTTGGACATCTAATGTAAAGCTTACAGCTCTTTTTTTTGCTAACCCAGATGGTTCCTACTGTATTTTATATTTTTCAAAAAGAATACTTGGGAATGTCGAGTTGACATTGTTGCTTGCGAATCATATAAGACTTATTATCTTAATTAAGAAATAATTAAGAATCTTATAAGATCTTATGGTTGTTCATAAAGGCTGATGTCTTATGGATGTAACTTTTTTAGGAATATTTTTTTGTGATGTTTATTTTGTGTTTCTTTAGTTAAAGTAGTCGGTAGTTTTTAAAATTTTAAAAAATTAGAGGAAAAAATTTCATAATAAGTCATCTTGCCCTGGTATATTTATTATTGGTAATCTCAAAAAATAAACTAGTTTGTTATTTCTGGTTGCAATATTTTTCATTTTTATCAGTATTTAAATTTAGTTTACAAAATTAATAGCAAAATATTTTCTAGTGAAGTAAATAAAAATTTTTACACTAGATAAGACTTTTGCTCTATTAAATTTTTATTTTTTAAATTATGAATAACTGGTGAAACAAAAAATATTGAATTTTGGACCCCTCCCCCCCCCCTACTGTTATAGTCTTGCAAAAGTGTTTTCTGGAGCTGCCATCAATACTTTTAAAACTATTTAACAAGTGATTATCAGTCTTTCCTGCTGGAAAGACTGATAAGCACTTTCATGGATGCCAACACTCTCTGATTGTTTTGAGGGGGCATTTGAGCTTGAAAAGGATCTCACTCCTGCTACAGCATGGGGCTCACAGTAGCTGGTGAACTTTAACTCATTTTTTTTCAGCTAATCGTTATTGCAATAATCTAGATCTTCCTATATTTATGAATGGTAATGCACTCAATGAATCATCTACCCTTTGTCTTCTAGGATTAGCTATAACTCTTGAAATCATCTCAAATAAATCTTAAATCCTTCCTTGTATGGAATATTATTGCTATATCTGGAGCGGCTTTTCAAATGATGCCCTTTTGCTTTTAGACAAGATGCAAAAAGACATTGTCAACCTACTCTTGCAGCCAACCTTCAACATTTGTTTCATTGTTGTAATGTTGCTTCTCGTTTTCTTTCTATAAATACTACAATGAGTGCTGCTTTAAAAAGCTAGCATCTCTCAAGCCATCTACTAAAATTTATTCTTCTGTTCTGTTAGTGCCTGTTAATGTTCTGTCTACTGATTACTGTTCGATGGTGACTGTTCCTATGTGCTCCAAAACTCTTATTCATTTTCCATAAACATTAAATCTTTGGAATTTGCTCCAGTCTTTTTGTTTTCCTGATTAATATAGTTTGCAACCTTTTAAGTCATATGTTATTCATAATCTTGTTTTACAAACTTCACCTTTTCTTTTCCAGTAACTCCCAACTCAAATAAAGGTTGCTTGCAGCCTTTTTGGAAGTAAAGATGTTAAAAATCTATTCTATGAAATTTACCTTTTTGTAAAATAAATTAAAAACTTTATTCTGTAAATAAATCTTTTTGTTTTATAAACATTTAACATATTATATCTTTTCATATCATAACATGTCTATTTTATATTGACTCACATCAAATATAGTTCTCATAAAGTATATATAAGTTAGAAACTTAGCAAACAATATAAAATATTATTAAGTTAGAAACTTAACAGATTTCAAACAATTTAACAGATAGAGGACAAATTCACTTAAATCGATTTGCAGAGGCACAAGGGAACTATAGTAAGTAACTTTTCTTAATAAATTAATAATTTTCTTTTAAATAAAGAGTTTTTTATTCCATTTTTATGTACACAAAAGTAATCAGTATGAATACCTTTGTATAAAAAAATGGAAATTCTTAGCTACTTTAAAATCAAGCTTGATTCTAAGCTTCTTAAATTCCTCGAAAACCAAGCATGATTCCTAGATACATAAATCCCATAATCTGTTCTATTAGACAGTTATTTGTTTTTAATTCAATTGATTATTCTTTTCTTTGATATGATCATAAATTTAGTTTTATTGAAACTAAGTGAAAGTGAAAGCTTCAAAGCTTAACAATATGAATATTAACTCAAATTTTTTTTATTCTACAAGACTTTTATCAAATTATACTTTGTCAGAGAATTTATTCTTATATTTTATTTTTTGTTTTTTTTGGAGTTTTTTTTTTTGTTTTTTTTTAAATTATCTTCGCTTCCAACAAGGTTGCAAGCAACCACTAATTAGTGTTGGAAGTTACTGGAAGAGAAAAGATGAAGATTGTAGAGCAAGATAACGATTGACAGACGACTTAAAATATTGCAAATTATGTGAATCAGGAAAGCAAGATGAAGGAAGCGAATTCCAAAGAACTGATATTCGAGGGAAAAAACTAGACAAATTTTTGGAGCACTTAGGAGCACTTAGTTAAGTAACAGAAACTAATAATATTTTTAACGTTATTCACCTCCCCAAAGCCCTTAAGACCACTAGAATTGAGGAGTGTACTTCTTTAACTGCATTTTTTCATTAAAAAATGTTATCTTTTAATTTTTATGGATTATTTTTATGATTTTTATGGACTATTTCTCTTCTTTCGATTTTTCCAAAAAAACTAGAAAATGACATTTTAATTCAAAAAAAATTCAAGCCGAAGACAACTGTTTAACATGAATAATTTTTTCTAAATCCAGATTATTTGCTAAGGAAAGTTTTATCATTTTCAAAACAGTTGATAGTTAGATAAATTTAAAACAGTTGATTTTTAATAACTTTTCTGATACATCTTTCCAAACTTTCAACTTGTTTATCGCACATTAATAAAGGTATTACTTATAAAAATATCTGATTGATTTGATTCTGTAAATAATTATTTAATTTACGTTTTCAATGTCATTTAATTTGAGTATTTTTATCATTCATTCTTTAACTATTTTCAAGCTGAATCCATAGGAAATAAAAATGTTTAAATTATTTTAGCATTCAGCATTTCTTTAATTTATAATTTTCAGAAATTTTAAACATCAAACAACATTTTGACATCTAATTTAATACTTTTAACTGTCCAAAAAATTTTGGTCAGCAAACAACATTTTGATATCTAACTTCATGATGAAAAAGTTTAAAACATTAATAATGCAATAATATCATAAGATTTAGGCATAATGAGGTAAACTTTAATGCTAATACTTTCATTATATCTATTTTTAAACCCTTTAATAACTTTAAATTACAAAATGATGATTTAAGTTTCCACTTAAGTCATCATTTTGTATGAATATATTAGTAATAAATTCAATTTATATCATATATCATTAAAATTATGACTAGAACAATTTTTATTTCTAAAATAAAAAATATTTGTTTACTTGATGCTTTCTGTTTCAAGACTTTGACTTTTTTTAAACCACAATCACTATTACCATTATATTATTGTTTTTGATATTACCTTTTATTGTTCACTGTTGCTTTATGGCAACAAAAACATTGAGCTTACTCAATTGGTTCTTGTTTGGTATAATATAAATTTAATTATACTTTTACAAACTTAATTTTTTGTAGTAAAGTTAATGTTATGATTTTTGTGCTAATGGAAAATGGGGTATATTTACCATTTCTTTGGGTTTTTTTTGCGAGGAAAAGAATGTGTAACATTTAGCTCCACCTTCTTGCTAATCAATTAAAACTGTTCTTTTTTTCATGTTTTGTTTATTACGATTGTTTAGCTGTTTTAAATGTGTAAAAACTAGACTCTGCTTATATAGCTGAAATAAGATAACACTAGAACAAATATAGTTGTTGCTATTTAGCAACATTGAACATTAGCGACATTATTTTTTGGTAATATAACTTATTGTTTATGCGTTATTTTAGAGTATTTCTATTATAACCTGATTATATTAGATTGATGATGATGATGAAAACAACAATGATGATGATAATGAAAGAGACGATTCTAGCAATAAAATGATACATGACTATGCGACTATATTTTTCAAAAAACCGACTATAACTTGGATATTACCTACTTAGGGTGAGGGGGTATAACACTTCCCCCATAGAATCGATTCTGAACGATGATAATAATGATAATCATCATCATGATGATGGTAATAGTGAAGTTGATAGTGATAGTGATTATGATGACAATGATGAGATGATGATGAAAAGAAGCAAAATAAGCTTCTTAGGTTTGCAAGCAATATTTCATATGTACCTATAGTATCAAGAAAAGCCTTGAAAACTCAACCAGTTGGAAGAACATCAATTATAAAATAAATCTTTAAGTGCAGTTGCAAAGCTTATGTGCCCTCGCCAGTACCTAGTGATGTACGCAGTGACTTGTTAAATAATTGGCTAGAAAAACCACATAAATAAAAATTCCTGCAATAACATTTAATGGGTTACATGCTAATGGATGTTAATGGGTGGCGTATATTAAAAAATGTGCATACTACTTTGATTTTTGACAGGCAGAAAAAAAACAGATTCTAAAACTTTTATAAGTAAGAAATTTAGATGCAGAATCTTTCAGAGATCAAACAGTGCTATTACTTAAATTTGGGTTGTTTTTTTTCACATAGTTCCTTTAAAAACAAACAAAAATAAAGCCCCTTTAATTTTTACATAGTCTAATTGCCCTTTGTCCCACCGAAATTTCTTATTGAGCTAAATTTATTTCTCGACGTAGTAATTATTTTATGATTGAAAAATGATAGTTGTATAAGAGTTATATTTAGCAAGCGCAATGTATAGTTTTTTACTCTATTTAAACAAAATATCCTTATATGCAAACTTTTGTCCTTTACCTTTATCAATACCTTTGTTGTTCAATGTTACCAAATATCAACAAATTAAATTTAGGTGTTACAACTTTTGGGGAAAAAATAATAATTTTTTTTATTATTTAATGGTATTTATTATAAAAAATTATTTAAACATTTTTTTAATTAAGTTTAATAATATTTAACCAATTATATATTATTTATAGTATAGTATAATATACAATAATATAGTACAATATACAATAATATAGTATTTCATTTGGAAATAAATTTCTAAATGAAATATAAACAAATTTATAAATATTAAATAACGGATGACACATTAATAGAGCTCTTTGATTATAACTTCATTTTTAAAACTATTGCATATGATTTATCATTATTATACTTTTTGTAAAAAAAATTTTAACAGGGAAATAAATTTTTTATTTTATAACTTTAGTGCACAATTCCTATGCAAAACAAGCTTTATATAACTTATTGACATATTTTTGTGAGCGTAATCACAATAAGATCATTAAAGTTCATTTATCTAGTAACTAAAATTTGCATTTTTCTGTTCTGTGCTTTGTGATTCTGCTTCAAACTTAATTTACTGATGAATACCATTCTTTTTTTACAAAATATTTATAAAGGTTAGATATAATTTATATAGTTTGGGTTATAGGATTTAATATATATTTAGTTATAGGTTTTATAATATATATTTAGTTATAGGTTTTATAATATATATTTAGTTATAGGTTTTATAATATATATTTAGTTATAGGCTTTATAATATATATTTAGTTATAGGTTTTATAATATATATTTAGTTATAGGTTTTATAATATATATTTAGTTATAGGTTTTATAATATATATTTAGTTATAGGTTTTATAATATATATTTAGTTATAGGTTAGATATGCTTAAATAGTTTTGCAAATATTTCTTATAAATATAATGATTAACTTACAGAAGTATAATAAAAAATATAATAAGTAATAATTGTATTTTAGTAAAACTTAAATACCCTGCTCCTGCTGTTGAATACCCAGATGGTTTTTGATTGGCTGCTGAATAAGCAGATGGTTTTTGATTTGACAATGGCTTGTTTGGAACAGGTAGATTTTCTATATAAATTCATAATTAATAACCATATAAATTGTGTTTAATAACTTAATATTTTGCATAACAGGTGACAACTAAAAAATGAGACTGGATAAGACACATATCTCTTTAAAGAAATAAGATAAAACAAAAAGGAAAAACGTTCTAGAAATTATTTTTATTCTAGTTTTTAAATATATAATTAGTTTTTCTCAGTTAAACCATTTCTTCTGACTTTATCAACTAGGCCTGGTATAGACTGAGCTAGTCTCCGTATGAGCTCAATATCAATTTTATTAAGACAATACCTGATTCTAGAACGTATTTTTTAAAGATTTTTTGCATGCCAAATATTCTTGTAGACAAGGCCTTTCAAAATACTCCATAAATTTTTGATAGGGCAACATTCTGGCAAGTTTGCAGGGTTATCCGCTTTCTCAACATAATGCAAGTTTCCCTTATTTAGGTACATAATTACTGATTTTGCATAGTGAGATGATGCTAAATCTGGTCAGAATACATATGCACCATCTAAATGATACCTAATGATGAAGGAATAAGTCTCTTCTTAATAAGTTTGTTTAAATAGATTTTTTGGTTTACAGCCAGTCCACTTGGTACAAAATAAGGTTGAGAAATTCCATTTTCAGAAAAAGCAATCCATAGAAGTAAATTCTTTTAAAACTTTTGTTTTGTTTTGTATTTAACTGTATGTATGGAGTAGATTTTATTCTAGTATAAAATATATCATTTCCATTGATACTGGAGTGATTTAACGTGAAATAAGACAAATGGCCAATGATTGGTTTACGATTTTTGAATTTCTGACACAATCGATTGTACTTAGTTCTAGCTACTGCTTTTTGCTGGTCATAGCGCTTTAGGATCGTAATTTTTTTACACACGTTTTCTAATCTCTTCTTGTTTTGAATTTATTTTTTTATTCATTTTTCTATAAAAAATAAAAACACATAAAATATTTAAAAACTAGAATAAAAATAAAATACCTTCTAAAACAGTTTTCCTATTTTTAAAATCTTATTCCTTTAAGGAGATATGTGTCTTTAAATCCAGTCTCGTTTTTTAGTTGTCACCCGTGCAATAAAATAGACATGTAGTGGGATACATGCAATAAAAAGACATGAAGTGGGATGAATATGGTAATAAACTTTATATAAAAATAAAAAATATTTTAATATAGTTATTTTTTCATATATAATAATATTATAAAAAAAAAACTTAATATATATATATAAAAAATTATGACACACTTTTAAAAACTAACGTAAGTAAAAAAAAGTTCATTCTGTTGCTACAATAATGAACTTTAGATTTGAAAAATAAACTTAAAAGCAAATAAAATAAAAATGGAAATTTTAAAAACGTTGAATAAAAAATTATTGAAAAAACTATTGTATGTTGTGGCATTTAAAAATAACTAACTTGTATTATTTGTTGAAGCAGATTTAATTTGATTCGAAATATTTTGCAGTTTTGAGCTTCCATTGACATTTTCTAAAAAAAAAATTTAAAAAAATATCACAAAAACATACTTTATTTCAAGCATTACTACCAATAAGTAAGAAACAAACCAACATTGATTTGTCAAAAAATAAAACAACTAATCTAATAGACTACAAAATTTTTAGGCACTTTAGTATTCTGATAATCATCTAACAACTCTACAGAACTTCAAGTTCGATCCAAATTAAGAAAATTAAGAAAACAAGTTTCTATTGATAAACAAGTTTGGAGAAAATGTTTAAGTACTAAGTTTTTTACTAATAAGTTGTAGTGGGCATGGTGACTAGTAGATTACTCAGAGGCTCTGTTATAGAACCATTGTTTATACATATATATATATATACATACATATATATATATATATATATATATATATATATATATATATATATATATATATATATGTGTGTGTGTGTGTGTGTGTGTGTATATATATATATATATATATATATATATATATATATATACATATATATATATATATATATATATATATATATATATATATATATATATATATATATATATATATATATATATATATCAGGGGCTATCCTAGACCCTTTGAAACAGTGTTAATCGTATTTGGGCAATATTTGGGTTCCACCCCAATACGTTTTTTACAAAAAAAATTGTTTATTCATAAAAAAATCCCTACATATGGCAATGTTTCATTCAAATTTCCTTACAATAGGAGCCGGCACAGGGAGTACCGCTGCCCAAATTATATTCCTAGAACAACCCATGTATATATACATATATATACATATAAATATATTATATTATTAAACTGCAAGGAGTGAACTTCCTGAAACAGAACATGAGTACATGTCCTGCTATAAGCAGATCAGGGGCTTAGCGCCAGTCATTGTTAATTATTATATCTTAATTTGATTGCTATATCAGTCAAAACTGTTCTTAAAACTTCCAACACTCTTCTAAATTTTGACAACTCTTTTAATGAAAGAGTAAAGTTGGTGTGCACAGTTTTTCAATTTCGTGATGTAGGCATTTACGATGTCCTTGTTGTGGAGCAACAGATTCTGATTCAGTATACTAGTTAACATCTAATTTATTCTTATATTTGTACGGCTGAATGCAATCTGCACTCGTTCTTTTATCTGTCAAAGTAGTAAGATTAAAAATTTTTAATTTTTTTTATAATCAAACTTTTTAAACTTGACAGACTTTCGTGGCCCTATATTAAACAAGCTCAATGTCTTTTTTTTTTTTTTTTGAGTAAGCAATCACTTGTAGGTACAACAAACTCTTGATGAGGTCTAGTGTAGGTTATATATCTCTCCAGAGGGTTATATCCCTACTCAGGAAAGTGCTTTTCATCCACCCCAAGATACTGTTGGGTTTAGAAGCACATTTTGCTTCACATGTTTTCCAACTGAGGCTAGACATAAATGTCATATCAATTTCACATTCAGAGTCTGTTGATACTAAAGCATGACTAGCAGTTCCAAAGGATTTATTGTAACTAAATTTAGGGTTACCGGAGCCGAAATGCATGGCTTTACATTTATTAACATTCTGTTTTATGAGCCAAGTTTCTGTCCAAATTATAATTGTATTTATTTCTCTTTATAATTTTTGGGAATCTTTATTTGATATCTATTAATTTACTGTCATCAGCATAAAACTTACAGAAATAATAATTAAAGACATTTGGAAATCTACATTTGTTTATGTAGATTATAAACAACAGTGGTCCGAGCACACTTCCTTGCGGTAAGCCGCTGGTGACATTGGTTCAATTTGTAATGTTTTCTCCAAGCACAACATTGTTGCCTGTTTTCTAGTAAGTTTAACACTTTAATAATTTTCTATTTATACCATATGCTTGTAGTTTTTGAGAAAGTCTTAGAAGTGGCACTTTGTCGAATGCCTTGTCAAAATCAAAGAAAATTGCACTAGCCCACTGTTTTTTGGAGAGTATTGCTGTGAATTCATCTAATGTTTGAAATAAATTAGTAACACAATCTTTATTGCGAACAAATCTGTGTTGTTGCGCAAAAGATTAATTGGAACAATGAGAGACAACTACAAAAAAAAAAAAAAATAGGAAAATAAAATATTTTTTAACGCAAAAAAACTTAAAGCAAAATAAATTACGTTTAGAACAAATATCTTCGAAACATCGCTCTTTTATAATATTTTTATACAACTAAGCGACGTTTTTTATATAAAGTAACATCTTACAATTGTTTAAAAAGGAAACAAACCTTCTTTATTTAACAAAGAATGTAATATAATTTTTATTTATTTACTCGTGCCTTATTTCCAGTGCTAAATTAAGGAGGGTTGGGGTTAGAAGGGGCTGTAGCCTCAGGCCCCACAATGTTAGGGCCCCAAAAAAGTCAACAAGACCTTTTTGTTTAGTCATTTTTACGCTGTGGCACATACAAAGGCATCCAAAATAAAAATACCCCCTGGTCCTAAAAAGTCTAACAAGATTCTAAAAATTGCTTTAAAAGATTACATTACGATAAAAAACATATACACAAAATTACACTTACATAAAAAATACATACTTTTTAAATAAAAAATAAAAATATGCTAATAAAATCTATAATTTATAATAAACTTTCAAAATTTTGACAATTTAAAAAATATATATTATAAAACATTAATTTTTATAAACAAATAATAATAATAGTTTAAAAAAATTATGGCTTTGCAGATGTGGCTCCAAGAATGAGCTATAGTATTGATAATATATTTTTAAAACAATTTAAGCTAGAAATCTCAAAACGTAAAAATTGTGAATAATACAATTTCTAAAACATTTCAACAGAATACTCTAAAACTTTATTTTGCTTAGTCAGCATATTTTTTGAACCAATAGAATTAGTTTGTTTGTAAATTTGGCGGGTTTTTAGTGTTTGCAAATATTTTTTTTATTCTTATGCACCAAGATGTTTGAGAACATTCAAGTTTATTATGTTTCCATGTATGTCCGTAAAACAAAAGTTTTTTGTTATGTACATAAACTTAAATTTTCTCAAAACGACTAAAAAACCTGGCCAGTAATATAATTTCCATGGTCAGTAATTTAATTTCGCTGGTCAAATATAATTTCCATGGTCAGTATTCCAGAGCAATCGCACCCGCTTCCCGACCAAGCCTGATATAGACCGGGACTATGTCATACTGATTAGTCTTGATCTTAATGTACTAACTAAATCAACTGATATAGGTATATCCAAGGGAGTTGCTGTTTCGTTTAGGTTAGGGAAGCAATTTTTTTAAATTACTTTAATCATTTTATTTTTTTCATAGATATATATATTTATATATCATAAGTTGTATGCGGAAAAAACCAAGTTCTTTATATAATTTTAACTTCATGTCTTATTTTATTTTAACTTTTTAAATTTTAAAATTTTTTTTTTCAAAAAAATAAAAAAACAGTAACTACAATCAAAATTTTTACCTTTTTTAATAGGCGGTGGTAGAAGATTTTCTTGTTCAGTTAACAAATCGGATATCTGTACTGGTTCTCCAATTTTTCCAGGAACCTCAGATGCTTTTAATACTATCTTTAGTTCAAGAATGATAATCACTTTCCTGAATCAAAATTAAACATTAATACCAATTAGGTCAAAATCCTAAATTTTTTTTAATGTTACTTCCCTAATGTTTTATATAACAAATTAAATTGAGCTATTGTTTTCCCACAAACCAATTAATGAATATATAATGTTTGTATATTAAAATCATTATATAAGATAACCAATAAAAAACTCATCAAATGAGTAGTTAAAAGGATGCAAAAATATCCATATAAAAATATCCATAAATAATCTAAATGTATTTTGCAAGAATCTGAATATTTTAAAATGTTTTTATAATTTATAAATTAATTATAAGAATTTATAAATTAATTATAAGAATTTATAAATTAATTATAAGAATTTATAAATTAATTATAAGAATTTATAAATTAATTATAAGAATTTATAAATTAATTATAAGAATTTATAAATTAATTATAAGAATTTATAAATTAATTATAAGAATTTATAAATTAATTATAAGAATTTATAAATTAATTATAAGAATTTATAAATTAATTATAAGAATTTATAAATTAATTATAAGAATTTATAAATTAATTATAAGAATTTATAAATTAATTATAAGAATTTATAAATTAATTATAAGAATTTATAAATTAATTATAAGAATTTATAAATTAATTATAAGAATTGAAGACATAAGTGGTTGAAGGTGTTATGTTACACCAATATGGAACTGAGATATCAGGAGTTAAAGTTTTGAATATATATTGTTCTAGATATTTTTCTATAGCAAAGATATGTTAATATTTATGGAGGGATATAGTAACCAAACACTTAACCCTTTCATGCGCCGGGTTGTTTTAGAACAACAAATTAAAATAGCTTACCTAATGCAGATAATGCATCCAAACTGATTGAAAACAATTTTTTTTTCATTGAGGATAGTTGATTAGGGCGTAAGAAAAAGTCAACCTTGCTATTTCATTGCATAACTGACATTTTAAAGATAATTTTTATGGGTGAAGGCGGTGCTATTAGAAGTCATCAAATTACTATTAATTTAAAGGATTTATAATTTTGATGTTGTTGTGAAAAAAATATATAAAATTAACTTAACAATGTACTGTTCTTACTACTCATTTATTTTTTTGTTTAATTATACCTTTTTAATCTAATCAATGAAATTAATTTGTTGTTGTACAACAACACTGCACGCTAATGGTATAAAATCCAATCTGTTATTATTATTGTTTTTGCAATAAGATTGTTTATGTAAAGTAGTATTTTTTGGTATTTATTCGGTAAAATATACTTAAAAAATAAAACATTGTTATTGATATATACTTAATTTTAGTTATTGATCATTGTTATTGATATATACTTAATTTTATATATATATATATATATATATATATATATATATATATATATATATATATATATATATATATATATATATATATATATATATATATATATATATACATGTTTATACAAACTGATAAACTTTTTAGTTATTTATTTTTTAGACCTTAAAGTTAAATAAATAATGATACCTGTAAAAAACAAACAAAAAGTTAAAACCCATTTAGTATCTAAAGGTGCTTTGGTCATAAATTTTGATGAGAGCGATGTTGATAGTGATAGCAATAATAGTGATTTAGATGGTGCAAATTATGAAAAAGATTTGTTCATGTACAGTGATTTTACTTGCTCAGAATCTGAGTCTATTGTTGATGAAAGTTCTGATGATGAAAGTTTCACTAATAAAATAACTTCAGCAAATAAATTTTTCAATCATGTACATCGTTGGCGTAAAGTTTCTGTCCCAAAAGAAATTGATGCTTTTAATGGTGAGCCTTTTCCAGAACCACCTTACCCAGAACTAACACCTTATCAGTACTTTAAAAAACTTTTTAGTTCTGAAATATTTGATCTAATTGTAGAACAGACAAATCTATATAGTGCAAATTTGACTGGTACATCGATAGCAGTGACAAACGATGATATCGAAAAATATGTTGACATATTAGTTTTGATGTCAATAATTAAACTTCCACATCAGAGGTTATACTGGAGTAATGAAACTGGTATACCAAATATAGCAGACGTCATGACTTCGAAGCAGTTTGAGAAAATAAAACGCTATTTGCATTTTTCAAATAGTAAATCGCTTCCCTCAAACCACCCTAATTATGACAAATTATTCAAAGTGCGACCGCTTATTCAACTTATTTTAAAAAACATCAAAAATATTCCACAAGAAGAAAGTCATTCGATAGATGAACAAATTTTGCCAACAAAAGGAAGATCTTTTCTGAGACAATATCTTCCTAAAAAACCCCATAAATGGGGTATAAAAGTATGGGCCAGATGCGGTGTTTCCGGAATTGTATACGATTTTGAGACTTATTGTAGAAAATGTTTGTTGAATAAAGATGAACTTCCAGGTTTATTAATGGGAGGCAATGTGGTTTATCGCTTGACACAAAGTTTGCCTAGTGGTGTTAACTACAAAATCTTTTTTGATAACTATTTTTCATCTATCGATATTCTTTGGTTGCTCAAAGAGAAATTTTTTTTGGCTGTAGCAACAATCCGTAAAGATCGTTTAAAGGATGCTAGTAAAAAGTTACTTAATGAAAAAGATCTCAAAAAAGCTGGAAGAGGCTCCTCAGACTATATTGTTGATGTTAATTCAGGAATTTGTATTGTAAGATGGTATGATAATAATATTGTGCAACTCATCTCAAATTATGTAGGAAATGAACCAGGTACTCCTGCTAACAGGTGGTCAGAAAAAGATAAAAAATTTGTGACTATTGATCGACCCAAGATAGTTGAAATTTATAATGCTCATATGGGAGGAGTTGATTTATGTGATATGCTGCTAGAAACATACAGTGTGAGACAGCGCATCGTAAAGTACTATATGCATATTTTTTATTACTGTATCGGCGTATCTGTAAACAATAGTTGGCTTCTTTATCGTTGTCATATAAATCAACAACATGTTCCTACCAAGAATCAGCTATCACTGTTACAATTTCGAACACAAATTGGAGACAGTTTGTGTAAAGCTGGTAAAACTTTATTACTTGCAAAGCGTGGGCGCCCATCACTTGCTGCAGAAAATAAAGTAGCTGCAAAAAGACGCCCACCCAACATTGAAAACCCTTCTAGAGATATAAGATTTGATATGTGTAGCCATTTCCCAGTATTTCAAGAGAAACAAAGTCGCTGTAGGCAAAGTAAAAATGGTTTTGCTTCTATTCAATGTATGAAATGCAAGATAAGCTTATGTCTTTTAAAAGGAAGAAACTGTTTTAATGAGTTTCATGGAGTTGACCAATAATATTCAATGTTTTAATCCATAATTAGTTATTTCTTGTTGTTTTTCAGTATCCCTATTTGACTTTGTTAACACCCTTTTTGGCTGTTTTTTTATTTTATTTTAATATTATTACTCTTTTAATAAATGTAGTGTAGCATTAATATTGCTAAAACGCAAAGTTGTTTGTTTATTAAAACTAACCGTTGACGGGCAGTGTTGTTCCATAACAACAAATTCAAATGACACCTTGAAATAATTTTTTTTTTCATTTTTTTTTTTATTTGTCGTATTGACATAAATAAAGTTCAAAAAAACTTAGTTTAAATTTTTTTTTGTTATGGGATGATAATTAGAGCATGAAAGGGTTAAGATTTTGTATGTAATATTTAATTTACTTAACACTTAATTTGTGTGAAAAAGTGGAATTTTGTATTTTTGCGACATAACGCCTTCATCCACTTATGTCTTCAATTTATACATTATTTATAAGAATTTATAGATTAATTATAAGAATTTACAGATTAATATAAAAACTTATAAATTAATTATAAGAATTTATAAACTAATTATAAGAATTTATAGATTAATTATAAAAATATAGATTTCTTGGATTTTAACCCAATAATAGACAGTATAAGTGCACAAGGTTTAAAATATAAAAAATAATATTCCAACAGACAATGACCAACTGACTAACTGTTTCAACAGGCAATAACCAAGTGGAAACAACAAAAATACTATTTTGACATTAAATGAATTCAGTCAAGGTTGACTAGCCAATTTAAAAAAATAAAAATTTTGAAAATTAAAGAAATAAAAACAAAGTCTCATTTGAAAATCATATTGTTAGTTTTACCTATAGTGTAAACAAAAAAACGTAAGAATAACCTTGATAAAACTAAAGTTATGTGCAGATTTATAACTTTGCCAAGAATTCAAGATCTGGCATGTAAATCAATAATCATTTGAAATCATTTAGTATCTTCCTTGATTAATTTTTATTTGTAACACCAATACAACTTTTATTTTTTAAACAATCTTTTTGTTGTTTTTTTTTTTAGTAATAAACTCGTAAAGGGATCCTAAAGTGCCAAGACAAGTTGTGTTCATTTTAAAGAATATGATTTTAAAAAATGTTTGGGCAGAATTTTTTTAAGTAAAACAAAATAATTAATGTATACCAACAAAAACAAACAATGTTGTTTCACTTGAAGCTTGCTGTCTCCACGTTAGCCAATCTCTATAAGTCTTTAAAATACACGCCAAAATCTACAGACTTATAATTTATTCAAGCGCGTTTAATTCCAAAGAGTTTTAGTAAACAACGTCAGTGTAGAATTTTGATAAGAAATCTGAAAATTCTTTTTTTTTTTTAATCTAATTATAGATTTTTTTTAAGTATTATTATAGATAACTAAAGAATTTTTTTAGTTATTTTATAAAAAAGTTTTTTGCGTTTTATTTACTGTTATTAAAGCCACTGACAGCAGCTTTTGATTTTTTCAAATTTTAACCGCAAACTGCTGGTAGCAGCTTTCGAGTATGCTTCACAATTTATCTTGTTTTGTACATAAATTTTCACTCTAGACACATATGATATGTTTGTTCTTAAGGTTTAATTAATTCTCTACATAATCATGAACAAATAAGTATATTAAATATATTGTGTTATTATAAAGTTATCACTTGACAAAGTTAAAAAATCTTGAGTAATCCTGATTTAAAAAAACTTCTTTAAATTTCGTTCTAAAATAAAGCATCGTTAACACTGTAAAATTTAACTCGTAGAAGTGTATAAGCATTTAGCAAAGTAATTAAAATGTCTTTTTTTTGTCTAGAAAAACATTCTTTTTATACATTAAATGAGTTTTGTTTTGGACTTAATGTTTTAATTACTATTTATAAAAGGATGGTTTTAAGCACTTGCAATTTCTTATTGTTCAATGATGCGTGTTAAAAACTTATTTAATCAAAAAGTTCATTTGTTTAGCTTTCTATTTATATATAGTTTGTTATGCTTTTAAAGAGATTTATTATTCAAATTTTAACTAATTGTCAATGTTATGCTTTCCAAATTTTATTTTTAAAAATGTGCGGTTGCAACATAAAGATTTTTGTTAAAACGGCTGGTAGCGAAAGATTTAACCTTATAAAATTAACTGCATTCATTTGTTAAACTTTTCATTGGGTATAAGTATTCTTGAAATTTTTATTTAATCATGCTAGAATATATTTAATAAAATTTATCTTTTAAAACATGTATTGCTAATTTTATTTTTAAAATTGAACAACCACTAGTCAAGATTGCAAAAAAGTGTAGCATTATCAAGTAGATTTTTAAGTTGAAATTGTTTAATGAAAAACTTTTTATAGTCAATTTTGGCAGTTTATTGATTTGTAATTTTAAGAGACAGGTTTTAATGGAAAAATCATGGCTGACAACACAGTTTTCAAAGTGGGGGGGGTTGGGGGTTGGGAACAACTGAATATTTTTAAAAAAAGTCTACTATATTTAGAATTTTCTTTTAAAAAAAAAAGATCCTTTAGGAAAAAAGTTTTTTCCAAAAGGACCTTTGACAATGTTGGTCCTGAAAATACTTGCTAAATATGACATAAATTGGGAAGAATTAAATATAACATGTTTTTAACGCACGCTGCAACACATTGATTATTTTAATCGCCATCTGTCTTGAATTATTGCCATTAAACATTAATTATTGCTTTAATTATTAAAAAGCTGTCTGTAAATTTGTTGTTTAAAATCTATAAACGTTTTTTAACTAAAAATTTAAGAATTCAGCAAATACCTCTAATAAATGATGTCGTTTACCAAAATTCTTTATTAATTAAAAATTTAAAAATTTGTAAAATATCATTTTAATAGGAGAACAAAAATGTCATAGTGATAAACCGCTTAGGAAAAAAGTTTACATTGTTTACATAAAAAGAAAAAAGATTCAGAATGTGATCAACGACTATTTTGAATATCTATTATATTTTAACATAAAAATCTTAAATCAACTTAGTTGAATTGCTCACTCTATAAAAAATCATTCTTTTGTTTAGCTTTTTATAAAATTTATAGAAAAGTCATAAGATTGATAATTAAAAAACAAATAAAACAAGAACATATTTATTCAAAAGAATAAAGATGAATATTGATAAAAAAAAATTGGTTCAAAAGAAAAAAAATTCTACAATGACTTCATTTACACCAAAACTCTTTAAAATTAAACGCGCTTGAATAAATTATAAAGTCTGTAGATTTTAGCAAATATTTTAAAAACTATTAGACATTGGCTAACGTGGAGACGGCGAGTTTCGAGTAAAACAACATTGTTTGTTTTTGTTGGTATACATTTATTATTTTGTTTTACTTAAAAAAATTCTGCCCAAACATTTTTTTTTTATCATTTTCTTTAAAATGAACACAACTTGTCTCGGCATTTTGGGATCCCTTTAACCATTAATTCTAATGTATATATTTTTCGCACAAAGTTCACAAGGTTTTTATTTAATCAATAAACTTCCAAAATTTTAGAACAATGATGGTGCAAAATTTTAGAACAATGATGTTGCAAAATTTTAGAACAATGATGCTGCAAAATTATAACCTCATTTCAATTAAAAACATCTAGTGCAAAATTATAACCTCATTTCAATTTTATTTAACAAACTTGGATGTGTTGTATCTTAATTTGAATAATACTTTGTTTTAGTGCTATAATTCTGAGTAACCTCAAACATTTGGCTTACTTTCAGACAATTTATTCTAAAAGTATGTCAAACTGTAAGAAGTTCTTACAATTTGGCATACTTTCAGAATGTTTTCCAAGATCAGCAAGAGATATGTTGCAAACATATGATGTTGGATCTACTTTAGCTGACAGGCTTGAACCCTGAACAATAAAAATGTTGTAACATCGTCAGAAGGTTTTATCCCTGGGTAATTTCAAATCAAATGACCCAAAAAATTTTTAAAATATCACCTTTTATTTTAAATCAATAAAAAAATTCACACCAAAAATGCCAGCATTTTTAAATAACCCTATTTTTCAATTATCGACAGTTGAATGTGTTATTGAAAACCAGTGCACCTCTAATCTGCCTACTGGCCTATGTAAGGAGACAACTAATAAGTCATTTCTTAATAAAAAGAAAGATGTAGTTGGTTGCCCCCTCCTTGATCTGGTTTTTATACTAGATATATAGATGGCAGTCCTAGACATTTTCAATCTTGGGATTTCAGGATTGAGAAATTTGTTCCCGGTAATCCCGGGTTTGAATAGAAAAAAACGCAATTGTAGAAAGTAAAGCATAAAAACAACTAACTTTTATATATACTCATCAAATTGGGGCACAAATAAAGGGGCAGTAACTTTTTAGAGAGCTTCATATGAAGGTCTCTAAATTAATTTAGATATTTAGATACCTAATATCTAAATATTTAAATTAATTTTAAAATGAAAGTGTTATTTTTTTAAATTCTATTTTATTATAAGTAATCAGTAGTCATAATAGGACCCAGACATTGGTCCCATACCCTCTCCCTGAGGAGGATCGGGAGATGGGGGTGGCACCAATCTACAAAGAGAAGAGACAATCCACTTACAAAGTTAATGCTTTCATTTTCTAACATGAAATATACATGATTCATTTTCTAACATGAAATATACATGATTCATTTTCAAATAACTAGACAGTTAAGGCCATTAGGTCTTTATTGCATTTTTTTTTATGCTTTTACCATAAGATTCGAATTTTGATAGTGTATTTGATAGTGTATTTGATAGTGATAGAATTTTGATAGATTCGAAATTTGATAGTGATTAACATTGATAGTTTGCCAGATTTTCCAGAAAATTTAATACGTTATGGTTTTAACAGGGCATTAACAAAAGTTAAATAAATTACTAAAAGTTGGTTGCCCTTGTCACCCCCCACCCTTAGATTGGTCTCACACACACACACACACACACACATACACACACACACACACACACACACACACACACACCTTTAGAGGGAGGGGGCTGGCACCAATGCCTGGTTTCTATAATGACCACTGATCACCTATAATAAAATAGAATTTAAATATCAAAATTACTTTAGAGATAGTAATGATATGATAATAAATATGAAAGGTCATAAGAATTGAATTGAATTTTTAAACTTTCTATGCAAAAAAGATTTTTGTTAACTAACATACATTTTTACGAAATTTAAAAAACGAATTACAAAATATCTTATTTTGTAAATCTAAATCACTTGAAAAACCTTGTGAGTCCTGCGGATGTAACCTTCAAATACACCTCAAGTTTTCATGTCATAGTTTGATCGAGGTTTAATTTAAATATTTATAACAAAAATGCATTAAAAAAAGATTAAATATCTAAAAACAACATGAATTAAAAAATATTTTGATACAACTACCTTGTACCCTGAATCACATTGCAGGTATATTTATCCATCTGTAATACACATCTCACCTCTACCATATCTTCTTGTACCGTATCATTTAGTTGTGTGCCCAGCATGGCAGCTATTCCAGTTAAAAAATATATATATACATTTACACATATATCATTTAATAATCATTTTAATTTTAATTTATATATATATATATATATATATTTATTTATAATTAAAATAAAAATTATTTAAAACGACTATTACTTTTAAAGTTTTTATATAACTTTGCTTTACTTAACATGACACTTTTGAAAAAGTTTTTTTTACAAGGATCCATTAAATGTTCATAAGCCTTAATGAATTTAGGTTGTGAGAAAAAATTTTGAAATTGTTTTTTTTTTTTCTTTTTTCCAGAACTCCTAAGTGTTAACAGATTAGAATAATGCATATATATTTGTAATGCAAATAATGGAAAGCCATCTACTTGTATCTTAGCTATGCATACCAGTTACAGAAGCATATATTTTAAAACATTTAAAACTGAATTAAAGTATGAACCACCTTTTTCAGTACTTAGAGCTGTGTGCATTAATGTGCAATATAAATAATGGTTGAACAGGATACTGATTCAACAACTCTTTAAAGCCATAGCAGTCAGCTCGGTTTTTCATCATTTATCTATTGATTTTTGGTCATTTTGGTCAAAAGTTAGAAATAAATTAGGAAGCGAAAAAAAAGCTAAAATGTTTGTGCAAATATATAGACAGTATCAAAAAATGGATAGTTAATTTTGTAAAAGGTATATCAAAAATATGATTAGTCTTGTCAAAGTGTATTTGTTCTGAATAAACTTATTGAATGAATCTAATTTGTTTGGTTTCCAAAATAAAATTGCGTTAAATAAAAATAATATTGTGTTTAAATTAAAAATTTCCCTTTATACAACATTTCTGAAAACATAAGCATATTATAGAGCTAGCGCTCTATAATATGCTTATGTTTTCAGAAATGTTGTATAATAGTATATACTAGTAATAAAAAAAAATAAATAAATAAATATATAAAATTCATAAAAAATATATATATATATAAATAAACAAAATTATATATCTCAAAAAAAAAACAACAGATTTACCTGGGTTTTATTGGGTTTTTTATTGGGCGAGTTTTTTAATGCCAACCCTGGCGGTAAGTACATTTATTATTCAAACCATTTTTTTTTTTTTTTTTTTTAAACAGAAAAAACTATGCAGATTCATGAAGTTAATATTAACATCTTAGCCAAAAGTATAATGGTAAAAAAAATTTACCAATTATACTTTTACCAAAAGAAATTTTCTATTGATATCTCAATAAATAATTTCTTTTGGTAATTTTAATAAACTCAAAACTTCTAATATTTATTTACAAAATAAACATAAATTGTCTCGGCACTTGAAAATACCTTTAAAAAACAGCAAAGTGATCCCAAATCATTAGCAATGTTTTGACAATATTGATTTTATCCCGCCAAATGTAAATATTTATTTTACAAGAAAAATGTAAATATTTATTTTACAAGAAATAATGTAAAAAATTTATTTTACAAGAAATAATGTAAAAAATGTAAATATTTATTTTACAAGAAAAGATAGATTTTTCATAATTTATTTGAAGAATAAAGTATGAATAAAAAAAATTATTATTCTAAAATCAGTAAATAATGAAACTTTTTATGCAAAAATAGTTTATTTTTTGATAAACTCTTGATATAATGCCCAATTTATGGATGAAACATCCACATGGCAGCTTTTGAGACTTCAATGATTGGTGTAGTTAAGGTGATTTACAAATTATTTGAATTCTTTTATTTGGAATTAGCATGGTTTTATCAGCGTATTATGTCCAAACAAAAGCTTTAAATGGTATAATTTTTTTGCTTTGTTTTTTTTTTAATATTTAAAGAAACTTTTCTTTTTTTATATATAATTTTCAAAACCTTTTTATTACCCCTAATAGTGAATCTAAAGAACAGCATTTAGGAGTCTTACAATATTTCTATCAATTTTCACAAAAAATACTAGAATTCTGACCAAGAAGGAGCTTATAAATAAGAAAAGTTGCCAATAAACAATTAAAACAGATCATATTATTAAACTATGGATGTTCATTTTACCTAAAAAACGTATTTATTTAAAATCTTATTCAAATTTGGACCAGCGCTTGAGATTTTAAGAAGATTTTTCTGAAAAAAAAAATCTTCAGTCTGGGTTTTTCGCTATAAACACTTTTATTTTATGATACTGCAAAATTTATCATTTAATTTTTTTTTGTCTTTTCATAATTCGCAGACCTGATTATTTAACGAAGTTCAACAAAATATCATACAGACACTGTAATATTTTAAAATTGCCTTGACTACATCGAGTGGTATAGTTAAGGCAATTTTAAATTATTATACTGTCTGTATGATATTTTGTTGACTGTGACATTTCCATACAGTATTCCATATTTCATATTCCATACTTTCAACATATTCCGTATTTCCGTATATTACAAATGGATTTTTCTCATGAATGTGCAAGATAGACATTTTAATAAATTTATAATTTTAATTTCTTTTGTTTATGTTTTATGACAACTAATATCATCATTCAATTTTAATATAATCCTTTATTTAATGTGTTAGAAATTTATTATGAAGCGTGTTTTTCTTTCCAATATTTTTTTCAATTAAATACTTTGCAACAATTAAAGATATTAATAAAAAGAGAACCAACCATGGAAGTAAAATTAAAGGTAAGTAAAAAAAAAAAAGTTAATTAACAAGATTGTCATTAATAACAAAAAATAACATATAATCAAATTTTATTATTAATAACAGAAAAATAACATATAATCAAATTTTATTATTAATAACAGAATACAACATCAATTTATAATTGAACAGTAGAAGGATTAATGGTTTTTAATACCTGACAGTGAAAAAGTCAAAAGGACATTTTACAAAAAAATTTGTGCTCATATACACTTGTAGCATATTTAAGACTTGTAGCATATCGTCAGCTGAGAACCAAGAGGCTATATGTCCACATTTTTTCTGTTTATTATTAATAAATATTCAACAATCAATGGAGTATGTGTCCAATAAATCTACTCTTAAGAATGATACTTTTGTAAATATTTGAAAAACTAGTCAGACATTCTAGCAGATAGTCTTTACAAATTAAATTTTAAAACTTGATTTTCTTGAAAACACAAAAAACAGCCTCTTGAAAAATTTTAAAACTTGTAACAAAAAAGCAAAGAATAACTAAAAAATCAACATACACGTGTAATAATGTTCTCCATCTGATAAAACCAAGCTAAAATTATATAAGCAATTTTTTAAAGTTAGTAAAAATTTTTATAAAGAAAACAGAAAATATTTTTATCATTAAATCTTATAGTAAAAAAAACTGGACAGTGTATATTTCAAATGATTTTACCGGTATCTCTCGTTTGCACCAGGACCAGCCTGCAGCTTTTTTATCCCCTAATAAAAAAGTATATCTCTTTACATATGTGCATAAAAATAACTTTAAATGTATTCTACAAAATAGTAAATTAATAGAAAATCGCTTATTATATTTCATATGTATGTATGTATGTATGTATGTATGTATGTATGTATGTATGTATGTATACAGCCAAAGTAAATAAAGGCGAGTGCTGAGAAAAGCTCTCCTAAATCAAACATGGCAAGCTATGCAAGCTCTAAATCAACAACAACAACAACAACAACAACAACAACAACAACAACAACAACAACAACAACAACAACAACAACAACAACAACAATAACCTATTTATTTTCTGTAAATTGTTTTACAATAGTTTTGATAATAATGATAATAATAATAGTAATAATAGCAAAATATATAATAACATAAGATAAAAAAAAATAATTATACAAACTATAGTAATAGTAATAAGTATGTTTACAATAATTACAATGAAAAAATAATAATAATAACTAATATTAATATAATAATAAGCTAATGATTTATTAGGATGGTGTCACTCATATCTGATCAAAGTCTGATCAAATCTGATCAAAAGAGTGACACCAATTTTTAATATAATATAAGTAATAATAAGCAAAGACACACACTGAAACACATGGAACATAAACACACAAACCAAAGCACATAAAATATACATCAAAACAAACATGTAGAAATCAATTTGCAGGTTTTACTAATAAAAAAAAAAATTTTTTTAATTTAAAAAAAGTGATGATGATAATTGTAGGAATTATGAAAAGAAAATTAAAATATTATTTAAATCATAAGGATAATAATGCCAAAAAGTTAGAATAAAAAATTTTTCAGAATTTTTTTAAATTGATATTGTTAAAGATGGAGTAAAGGTATTTTAGGATATATTTTTTTGGACTCATTCAAAATGCATGCAAGGCTCCTGTTCCATTCACAGAGACACTGATAAATGATAGAATGTTTACCATACTTCTGGGTTTTAAAAGATAGTAAAATTTAGTTTTCCATTGTGTATATTTCTAGTCGAGTAGGAATGTAATAGTCTACTTTCTGTGAACAAATTTGTGATAGGAAATGGTATATTTTTATTTAAGGAGTCAAAAAAAAAAGAAGATTAGCATACTTTACTAGCGCTGGAAATGTTGGAATGAAAAGTTTTTTGAAGGACTTCGATGTATCTGATTTAATTGGTTGGAAGTTTATTAATCTGATGGATTGACGCTGAGACGATAACAATTTGTTAATGCGATAATTTCCAACTTGACCCCAAACTTGACAACAATAGCTAAGATGATATGAGAATAATGCATAGTAAATACTCCTAAGTGTAACTTTATCAACATAATGACGAATTATTGAAAGCATACCGTTAGCAAGATTCTTGCTTAGTTCATCAATATGAAAATTCCATGAAAGATTACAATCAATTAGTACACCAAGATATTTAATAACTCTTGAAGGATATAGCCGTTTATTATTAATTTTGATTTTGATTTCAACAGAAAAAAAATTTTATCTCTAAGAAAAAGCAATTTCAAAAGAAATTGCTTTTTCTTAGAGATAAAAAAAATATAGTTCAATTTTTTTGGTGTTCAGATGGACTGAGGAGAAGTGAACAGAGTTGATTAGGTCATTAACATAGATTATAAACAAAAGAAGACCTAGAACAGAACCTTGAGGAACACCACGCAAAACTGATTTATAACTAGAATTGAAACCATTAATACTTACAAATTGTTTTCGATCTGAAAGATAAGATCGTCATTTACAATACCGCGAATTCCATGTTTTAATTTAGAAATCAAAATACTATGGTCAACGGTATCGAAAGATCTTTGTAAATTGATAAAAACATCACAAAATGACCAGTATCAAGAGCTTTCCTGATTTTTTCTGTTATACTTATTAATGCATGGCAAGTAGAATGTTTTGATTGAAAACCAAATTGAAAATCATTTAAACAATTAAATGAGTTTAGAAAAGAGTACACTCTAGAATACATAAGTTTCTCAAGAAGCTTACTAATTTTAGATAAAAGAGAAATAGGTCTGCAGTTAGTGCATGAAAGTTTAGAGCCATTTTTAAATATTGGAATAACAAGATAATTTCAAAATATCAGGAAATTTTCCATTTATACATGAGGTATTAAATAGTTTAGAAAGAATATTTAAAAAATCGTAGTTAAAATCTATAAGAATATTTGTGGGATGCTGTTTGGACCTAATGATGTTTTTGGTTTCAATTTAGATATAAGAGATGAAATTTCAGAAATATTTGTTGGAGATACTAATAAACTATGTAAATTTGGATGTTTAAGATATTTTTGATAGTTAATGTAAGATGAATGAATATTGGATTTGAGTTTATGAAAAACATTTGTAAAAAAAGTGTTAAATGATTCAGAGATTAAATTCGGGTCAGTTATATATGTATTATTTTCTGGCAAACAGTTGGAAGATGATTTATTCATTAGAGTGTTAATACCATTCCAAAGTTCACAAAGATTTTTTACATTTTTTGAGAAAAAAAATTTTTAAATGGTTTTTTTTACTAAGTTTAATTAATGTAACTATTATATATTCATTTCTTTTAAAAATACTTTCAATTTTTTTTTTATTAAGATCTTTAGATCTTAACTTTTTTTTTCGGAAAAGATTGCGCACTTAAATAGATTTTATAAATCCTTCTGTAACCTATAGTTTGAATCGACGTTTGAAGTTTTTTATACGAGATTAAAGATTTTTTTAAGTGGAGCGTAACGATCTAAAATCAATGTTGTTTCAGTAATAAACGTTTGGAAACATGTGTTAGTATCATTGGACTTAGTAATAATGTGGTATAAATAATTTATTGAAATTGGGACAAATACAAAATTGAGGTAAGTGATAAGAAACAGAAGTTGTCAAATTTCCTGAAACAATTTCATTAGCTATTAAACTAGAGAAAATATTATAAATAATTGTAGCAGAGTGATCAGTAATTCAAGTCAGCAAAGTAATAAAAGGGCGAATATTATAAAAAGAAAATAAGTTTAAAAAATCAGATGTCGCAATGTCATTATTTGATTGCATCAGATCAATATTATAATCACCAAGTAAGAAAACAGATTTATTTTCAGCAGATATTTTTTGAAGTAAGACAGATATAATATTATTAAAAATATTAACATCCATGCAAGGGTGTCTATAAATGCAACCAACAAAAATATTAGACTTTTTAGAAAATACAACTTCAACAAATATGGATTCTAAACAATTAGGTGTATAAATCATTAAATCATCTCTTCGTTTGTATATTAGTTTTTTTGATAAATATAATAATGTACACAAGAGGATTCCGTTGGTGTCTGCTCAATGTTGTAATTATCAATGAGAATCGGATGAATTGAGGATGTTCCTTTTTTTAACCTTGTTTCAGTTATACCAATAATGGAAAAATCAAAATTAATTAATGATAATATTATGTTTAAATCCTTAAAGTGTTTTTGTAACGATGATATGTTTAGATGAAAAAAGGAGAGAGCACTTATTTTATTAAAATTAAGTGTACATAATTCGCTTATGGCAATAATTTTATGTCAATATATTTACAAACTATGTCTAATGAAGAAGAAATTTCTTCCTCAGAGTCTAAAACACGAGATGAAACATAATTATTAATTTGATTAGAGACTTTCTTTAAATGAAAAGACGGGAAAAGGTTTGTTGACAGAGGTAAATTATCAGTTTTATAAATTATATCAGAAGAAAATAGCAATTTAAATTCATTATCTTGTACATCTGTGAATGGAAAAACACCTTTAATACAGTTTAAACAACTCTGCAACGAGCGACTTAATTGTAGTAAACTGTACTTAATATCATTAAGCCTGTCACATTTTGTATGAGACTAAAATAAACAAATATTACATTGAAGTGAGCAGCAACTTTGACTAATTAATTTTTTACACAAATGACAGTTTAAAGCCATAGTGGAACCGCAAGATTAGAGAGAATGTAAGAAACAATAAGTAGGAAGTAAATAGCTATGCTATTAATAATTGTTACAATAAAATAACGCGTATGAATAGATTATTAAGAACAACCAAATAAAGCATTTGAAAACTAACAATTATAATAAATAATATTAATGGTAGTTACACAATAACACAACAGCCAAACAAACAGTAAACTATAACAAAAACAAAATTTTTGAAAAAAATTATAAAATCAGACTAAAAGAATAAAAAAACTAATTAAAGTTAAGAGAAATGTAAATTAAAAAATATAATAACAACAATAAAAATAAAAAGTAAATATTATACATCAAAAAAGTAATCTAATATTAAATTGTAGTAATATAAATAAAAATAACTGTAATATTTAAATTTTTAAAGAGCTGATAAACATGTTATCATTTTTATCAACTGAAAATATAAATATTAGGGGTGTCCAAAAAACAACTTTTTTGAGAAAAACCTGCTGACACCTCCTAAATGTGTTTTATCTAATGCAAAAACACTAGGTTTAAAATTTTTTTGAACAAAAATTATTTTTAGGGGTAGCTCAAGGCCCTCAAAAATTTGACGGGTCCCTAATATTTTGAAAAAAAAACTTTTTCTAAAGTATGTCAACCTGGTACTCAAAAGAAGCGATATTGTATAAAAACTTCAAAAATAATAATCATTTTACATAAAAAACATGCCTAAAAAAAATTATTCTCAAAAAACCTGAAAATATTGACTTTTTTTATTTTCAGCTTAAAAACAATAGTTTTTATGCATTTATACCTAAAAAAATTATTTTTATAAAAAATTATTATCATTTTTAAATTTTTTATATAATTTTGCTTCTTTTGAGTACCAGGTTGACATACTTTAGAAAAAGTTTTTTTTTCAAAATATTAGGGACCCGTCAAATTTTTGAGGGCCTTGAGCTACCCCTAAAAATAATTTTTGTTCAAAAAAATTTTAAACCTAGTGTTTTTGCATTAGATAAAACACATTTAGGGGGTGTCA